TTTATGCAGTGTGTTGTAGTAAGTAAATAATTTTTTTCTTTTGCTTTGTGTGCCGCCAAATTTTGAAATCGTTAAATATGTGCCGCAACAAAAAAAGAGGCTGAGAATCACTGCTCTAGAGGAACGATGAACATCATCCACCTCTTCTCGTACCCAATTATTTTAACACAGCCTCTGTAGTAAAATAATTGAAAGAGAAAACTAAACGCCAGCAAGTAATACTATAATTAAGAACATATGACAACTATATGATATATAATATAGGCTAAACAATTAGTGATAAGAATAATTAGTGTTAAATAGAATGTAGAATATAAATGTAAACAATTATCCCTAGCCAGAAATGTAAAACTAGAATGTAGATAGTTACTAGCTGACTCGGTAAACGTTGTTTTACCATATATACATTATTTCCAGAACTATACATGACAATTTCTCGTACTAAAATAATTATTTTCGATTACCATCTTGCAAGCCTTTTTCGGAATATAAAAATCGCTATTAAAAAACAGGGGTTGATCGTAAAAGGGTAAAAATTTGAAGCTGTATGTATTTTTCAATGCTTAGTCATAATAAAATAAAAATAAAAAAATGTCAAAATAATAAAAAATATATATTTGAGGGTAGGTCACCCTTATAATGATAAGGGGGTATGAAAAATAGATGTTGGCCGATTCTCAGACCTATCCAATATGCACACAAAATTTCATAAAAATCGGTAAAGCCGTTTCGGAGGAGTTTGGTAACAAACACCGTGACACTAGAATTTTATTTATAAGATATAGAGCAAACTACATAGATAGTTGTAATTATGTTTTAATAAGTTAAGTAGTTTATAAAATCTTTATAATATTAATAAGGCAAAAAACTCCATTAATAAAGTAATAAACCTGGAATTAAATATCCGGGACCGAAAAAAACCACAGCCTCTGGATAGCGAAAGCATAAGGGTGACATCAGCTCTTTGGATTCTAAAATCCTTGAAGAAATGTATCCAAGTATTTACCAGAGGGAGACTTTGTACAAAAGTCGATTGCTTAGGTACCTCTGTCCCATTCGTGTTTCTACCGTGAAGCAGTTGTGTTTGTATGGCTGTGTTTCGGTTTGAAGGGTGGGATATGGCGTGAATTTACAGGGTACAGAGGAATAAACATCTGAGTCCTCAGGAATAGCAACAATGGCACTGCTCATGTCTATAGGCGACGGTTACCACTTTCCATCAGGTGGGCCGTCAGCTTGTTTGCCATTCTAAGTTGGATAAAAAAAAGTACTACATTCACCACAACGGCGACAGTCAACTATTGTCTCTAATTACCTCATCAATAATTACAGTCGTGAGTAAATTTATTTATTTAATATTAAAAACATAAACTTTGAATAGAAATTGTTAAAGAAAATTAAACAGTGATATAAAATATTTTTGAAGACTTTATCTCTCGTCCTAGAGTTTCCGAGCAGGAGGGACCGATTTCAATGATTTTTTATTTGTTTATTTAAACACTAACATAATCTGCAAACATATATATATATATATATATATATATATATATATATATATATATATATATATATATATATATATATATATATATATATATATATATATATATACGTATAGTTAGGTTAATTCATATTATCCTTGTATACAACGAGCTGTTTGATAAAGAAATCTATCAGAACTTTTAAATTAAAAAACAATAAAAAAAAAATATCTTGGTAACTGATTACTTGGTAACTATAAGTAGGGTAGATACGTTATACCCGTCCCTATCAGAGACTACGATAACGATAAAACAACTTCAATATCGATTGATGAGATAATGCAATGGGGATTGTAGATTAGTGAAACGTTACAATATAATATACTAGCTTTAGCCCGCCGCTTCGCCCGCGTGGATCTTGTTTATCGCAACATGCAATTTTTGGAAATAACTCGATAGATTTATTTGGATAAGGATTAATACTGGAGTATGAAAATACCACCCAGACGGCGACCAGCGTGGTTATTCGTAATTTTCGAAAGAAAAGTGATTATTGTGACCTAACCATAATAGTTAGAGATATGCTATCGCGGACTTATTTGTAGATCTCAATGAGTACTTTAAAAACGTAGAACATTGTTTTTTCATTATAAGCAACTATTTAGTCAGTGCGCGCAAGATAAGAGAATTTTATACAATTTTTCTTCCGACTTGCTCGCCATGAATGGTCACAGTACGGTGAATATAACATATAGATATAATATATAGCCTATGGCACTCACAAAGGATGTAGCTATCGATTGGTGAAAGAATTTTTGAAATCGGTCCAGCAGTTTCAGAGCCTATTCGTTACAAACAAAAAAACAAATGTTTCCTCTTTATAATATTAGTGTAGATTATAGCGACCCGCCCCGGCTTCGCACGATTGCAATGCTAAACGCAAAAAATGCGTTAATTTACGACATCACATTAGAAACCTCCAAAATTATCAGTATTTCTCTGCTATATTATGCATAGTGGACCCGCCCTCGCTTCGCTTCGGGTACCATTTTTACCGCCGTAGGAGTTACGAGTACGTCTCAAAACACCTATGTCCTAAAAGTTAAAACTTACCTACCTATACCATACTGGTGCGGTGAGAATTTTGAAGTTTTATTTAACACGCCTCGCGCGCTAGACCTCTAAAATTATCAGTGTTTCTCTACCTCCCCTCCCGCACGCGCACCTCTGCCTTGGTGACACTCACTTCGCGACGGGCCGTGCAGCAGAAATCGTAATATTTTAATTTCGCCATAACTTCCAAACCCAACGTCCAATTTTAATCATTCAAACACCAAATATTATCTACATAAACTGTACTTAGTGATGAAATCATTTATTTTGATAAGGATTAATAGCATGAGTAAAATAAATGCGTTTAAATGTAGTCCAAAAAAATCAAAATTTTTAAATAAAAAAATGGTTGTTGTACCTCAACTCGACATAGATAGGTATAGTGTGTCGCGGACTTTTTCGTAGATATTTATAAGATCTACAATTAATTAGAACATTTTATGGTTCTATCTTTTATAGTTTAGGCAGCTTACGCAAAATAAGTAACTTTTCTGGTTGATTTTTTACACCTTGTGTCCGACAAACCCAAATATTTTACGGAACCCTATTTTTTTCCAAAATAAAATTTAGCCTATGTTACTCGCAGATAATATAGCTTTCTAATGGTGAAAGAATATTTAAAATCGGTCCAGTAGTTTTTGAGTTTATCCATTACAACCAAACAAACAAACAAACAAAGTTTTCCTCTTTATAATATTAGTGTAGAAAATCAAATGAAAGGCACTGTTAAGTAACTAAGAACAACGAATTATAAAAACTTTGCTGTTAAACGACAAAATGTTCTAGATTCAAAATATTAGAATTTTAAATGCAAAATCATGTATGATCAGAATTTTGTATGACAAAGAAAAACCGTGAAATCAGTCGTCACAGAATTATAAAGTCTCTAAACGTATATCTTAAATTCAAATTTCAACTCGATATCACACTGAAATCTTTATGACCAGTAAATTTAAGTCAAAATTATTATAGGTTTAGTTTGAACAGGTTTGTACATGTTAGCCTACCTATTTCAAACCTACGTAGTTGTAGAAAAATAAATTGTGATGTTCTCGACAATCTTTTTGTCTTAGGAATTAATTTTACCTAACAATATTTTTGTGGGGGGAAAGGGATTGTTAGTAATGCAGTTCATTAGCCCCATTGCTAACAATAAACCCTATCAGGTCTACCTCCACGCGATTCCCCCTGGAAACCATCGTGATTAAATTTAGTGTATTTCATCACGATGGGCTAACTGGCCTGCTTTCATTGTCACCTATCATCCTTCACTGGTAATCTGCCAGCGTAACCCGTTAGCGCAGGCGGGATTACCATTCCATTTTCATCCATCAAAAAAAAAACAATATTTTTGTATCGCGACATATTATCCTCTGAGTTAATTCATTGTAAATATTATTCATAATACAATCTCGTACTAAATCTTTCATTCTCTCACTCCTTCTGAATCTATATAATATTTTAAAATATCATTCACACCCACATCTACAAACAATAATTTCGCGCAAGTGTCGAATTTACTCTAAATATTTTGAGTTATACTCGCAGATGTTTATTTTACGGAATAAAATTTGCAAATTAAACTAGATAATTGAGTGACAATCATAACATACTGCACAAAAATAAATATTTCTGCAAAAGGTAAACGCGGAAAAATTAAAAGCTAAGCTACGTAGCTTTTGTTCCTATTGCCCATCTTCGCAGAAAAATATATTCACCATAATTTTACTTAATCTATGACCGCAATAATAATAAACTACAACTGATGATAATTTATCTAATTTAATAGATAAAAATAACAAAATTCAACTAATTGATAAATAAATTAATGCAATTTATTGTATTTTAGTTGGTTGGGTACTTCTGTCCCATTCGTGTTTCAACCGTGAAGCAGTTGTGTTTGCATGGCTGTGTTTCGGTTTGAAGGGTGGGATATGGCGTGAATTTACTGGGTACAGAGGAATAACACATGAGAACTTATAAATAGAATCGTCAGGATAAGCTAATAAGATTAACCTAAGCATTCTATATACAAAACACTATACTTAGTTATTAGTAATAAATGTATCCAAAATTTATACATATTTCCCGTCCTATTAGACATCTGTCAAAGTATTTGTTGTGGTACTAAATATTGTATGTAAATAAGTTAAATGTTGGCGAATACATCAAACAATTTTATTCATACATAGTTTTTCCTTCGGTCAATGTGACAAAAGTTCAAAACTCTTTACAAACAATACTTAAAACAAATAATATCTACTAATGGACAGACAAACAAATAATGATAATCGTGTAATAGGTTCCTATGAAAAGAAACGTCAATGTCAACGAGTGACGCGACCGTGAATGTTTTGTTTTTGATTTGGTATGCATTGATTAGAAGTGAAAGGTTCTAAGCATTTGAAACAAATTTTATTATCTTGATAAAATATGTGTTCATAACTTACCTTAAAACACTGGGAATCGAGATTCTTTTATAAAAATGGATCCGGCTCTACTACGGGAACGGGAGGCTTTTAAGAAAAAGGCACTTGCAACTCCAACGTACGTAGCTACATCCTTCTCTGAATACTGCTCGGTAACTAGTTGTCTCATCGTGTCCCTCCTGGCTGGATTCCTCGGGCCCATTGCCTCTGTCTCACTCGCTCACACCAATATCGTATATTACGAAATTCATGAACCAAATTGAACTTGGAAAATGGGGTTAAATCCAAATCATTGACTATATAGTGAATTCAATTTCACAATTGACAGGGCAGGTAATTTGTAAATTATATTAACTGGCTCCACTTTTACAAACTATCTATACTAATAATGTAACATGAAACATTAATATTGTGTTAACAAACATTATGTTTATTTGAATTAAATTTACCTAATTAAAAGTTTAACATAAATTAGTCACAATTTAAATTATATATTAATAATTTACATTACTACCAGCTACATTAAGAGGTATAAAATTACAACTACATAGTGAAATACTTTTTTCAACCAAAATATTTTTTATTTGTATTAAAAGAGTTAATCTAAATAATTAACTTAGAGTAAGTTTTTTTTTTCTTCTTTAATTAATAAATTTTCTACCCTCTCATGTTCTAGTGTTGAGAAGAAAAAAACAAAGGATGACTCTCAATTCAAAGATGACAGCAAAAAGAAATCCAAATCATCGAGTTCAGTCAGCGCTGGACCAAAGCTGGATGCCACCAAGTATGTTATTTATTATTTATATGTCATATATATATATATATATGTAGTACATATGTGAAAATTTATAATTACTTTACTAAATCTGTACAGTGACAGAGAAAAAAACCTTTTTACACAACAATAATTTTAATTTACTCAATAGATAATTACTTATATTCATCATACCTTGTAATTAAGTATGAAAACATTGAGGTTGATTCTGAACTGCCATTTCTCTAAACCTATGTCTAAAATTATAATTGTAAGTTTGATTTCACAGTAAAATCTTTGTTCTAAATACTAATATGAACTAGTAATAGATTTAAGACAAAATGATTATAAATTAAATTTATAATCGTCCATAAAACATTAATTTAATTAACTATCAAATTAAAATATTAGATTCATCATCATCCTATCAGCCTTTCAATATCCACTGCTGAATATAGGCCTCCTTATAGAGGGGTTTGCAGTAGTTACCACACTTGGTAGGCAGATTGGCAACTGCAGTTAGACTTTTAATTATGTGCTGCCATCTCTATAAAATATTAAATTAAGAAATGGGTATGGAGAAATAGCAATGCAAATAAAATAGCAATGAAATAGAAATAGCAATGCAAATAAAATAGCAATGAAATAGAAATAGCAATGCAAATAAAATAGCAATGGAATAGAAATAGCAATTCAAATAAAATAGCAATGAAATAGAAATAGCAATGCAATCGGGCCCTTTATCTTCAACTTTGTGATGTTTGCTATTGAACCCCTAGTACTATCGCTGTTTCAATTGCTTGCTATGAAATACTCTATCTACAGCATTATCATGATACATTAATAGTAAAAAATAAATATTGATATACAGTATAAAATTATGCTGGTGGTTCCTTTCAAGTAAATTATTATTATTAACTAGTGCATTGAAAATATTTATTAAAAAAAATTGAAACAACCCCATACAAATTGCTGATATGCCATGTTAATAAGGGACGCCTAAAATTCTTGGAACATTTTTACTTGGAATGTTCTTTCGAAAATGCTCCGTTTCATTTGTAAAACACTTTTTAAAATGCTAATTATATCAATTTTACTCATATCAGTTTATGGTATGATAGAGCTGGTTAAGATGTGATAGGCAAAAGCCCTTTGAAACATTAGACGAAAAAAACATTGCTCTAAACAATCAGTCACCTAGAATACATGATGTACCATATCAAACTATTTACGTTATTGTTGCCCATTGCAGTTATAAAACAATGGTGGGTAGCTCCAGCTACCGCTTCGGAGTGCTGGCCCGTATAGTGAGACACATGCGGGCGAGACACCAGGAAGGTGACGACCACCCTTTGACCTTAGATGAAGTGCTGGACGAAACCAATCAACTGGATGTTGGGAATAAAGTGAAGCAGGCAAGTGGCCCAGATATAGAACTTTTTTTTTAAGAGAATTGTCATGCTTTGCCTTGGAGGATAAACCCCCTCAATTTTATCTAGAGAAATGGAGAATTAAAAGTAAACTTTATTTAAGTATTAAATAGTTAATTAATAAATATAATAAATAAAAGCTCTTTTTGTTTCTACTCTAGTTTAATCAATTGAGAGAACTAGTAAAAAAAATCTTTTAAAAATATTTTATTTATAATCTATTATTAATATGAATTTAATTTTTATTTCCTTTCCTAACTTATTTTATGCCATTGAGGTGACAAATAAGCATACAACCCATCCTTTTTTTAAGAGCCCCAGCTGTAGTCTTCCTTTTTACCTAAATAAGAAAAAATGGAAATAATTAAAAAACTGAGTGCTCACTTAGCATGAGAAAATGGAAGTTAGTAATGGAGTCACACAGCCCCATTGCTAGCCATATAACCCTATCAGGTTTACTTCCGTATGATTCCCTCTTTTTTTTGTTTCTAATCTAATATTATTTTACAGTGGTTGCAATCAGAAGCCTTACAAAACAATCCTAAAATTGAATGTACACAGGATGGAAAATATATTTTTAAACCTGTTTACAAAATCAAAGACAAGAAATCACTGCTCAGGTAAATCCTCTTAAACATTATGACCACTTTATAGACTGTGTTTAAAATGATAAATACAGTAATGGCAACATAACAAAATTTACTGCACAAATCAATACTTTGAATGCCCAATTCTCCTTTTATTTTCTGCTCAATTTTCCTTAATAAATATTTTGTACCCTCATAATCTATACTTATAATAAATCTGTAGAGAGGTCAATTCTGTACATGAAATATATTTCCAAAATAACTATCAGAGGGTGATTAGTAATCGATACTGATGCCAAAAATGCAATCAGTAAAATTTTTGTCTGTCTGTCTGTATGTTCGTTATAAGAGTACTACTCGAAGGATTTTAATGAAACTTATTACAATTATTCTTCATACTCTTGGGCAGGTTATAATATACTTTTCATCACGCTACGATCAATAGGAGCAGAGCAGTGAAGGGAAATGTTAAAAATGTCCACCCGTGCGACGCCGGGACGGGGCGCTAGTTACTAATATGGTAAAACTTGTTTGTAGATTACTGAAACAACAAGATCTGAAGGGTCTGGGCGGGATCTTATTAGAGGATGTACAGGAATCATTGCCACACTGTGAGAGGGCTCTGAAGAGTTTAGCCCAAGAAATATTGTACATAACTAGACCCACTGATAAGAAAAAGATATTATTTTATAATGACAAAACTGCAACCCTAGATGTAAGTATTGTGTGCCTTTTTTTATATTACCTACATAAATAAAAGCAATGACAACTTTTTTTTTAATTTAAAATATGCTCATGTCATTTAAGAAACTGTAGTTCAAATTACTTTATCTAAGTTATAATATAGAAATGCTAAACAACAGCGAGTTATCTGCCACCTCACACTCATTGGTTATCGTTAGACAGAGAAATGTGATTTCTCAGAAAAACTGCCTACCTATTTCTCTTGTTTGCCCAATGGTCGACTGGTAAAGAACACCATACAATGTTAAATATATGAATTGTACTAATAAATACACTGCTTTAAAGTTTTAATAAACATGTAAATTTTTAGATTGTCTTTCAAAGCCAAAAAAGGAATAATGCGCTAACGGGATACGCTGGCGGAGCACCAGTGAAGGGTAATCGACCAGAATGAAAACAGGCCAGTTAGCCCATCATGATAAATTCATCAGGAATTAATCATCATAGTTTCCAGGGGGAACCGCGAGGAGGTCGACCTGATTGGGTATATTGCTAGCAATGGGGTTCTCAGTCTCTATCACTAACAATCCTTTTCCCCCCTGAATAAATATTATAATTATAAATTTTTAATTGTTTGCAGGTAGATGACGAGTTTGTGAAATTATGGCGCGCCACAGCCGTAGATGCTATGGACGACGCAAAAATTGAAGAATACTTGGAGAAACAGGGTATCAAGTCAATGCAAGACCATGGACCTAGGAAACCTATAGCCCCAAAAAGGAAGAAGGCGGCACAAAAACGAAGACAGTTTAAGAAACCGCGTGATAACGAGCACTTGGCAGATGTTCTTGAGACTTACGAGGATAATACGTTAACACAAAAAGGTGTTAGCATTAAATAAAAAGTGATTGTAATATTTTTTTTTTTTTATTTTCAATAATAACCAATTAAGTACTGACAAGACTATTCATAAAAGTAAACAATAATAATGATATATATATATATATATATATATATATATATATATATATATATATATATATATATATATGTGTGTGTGGCATGTCGTATAGGGAGGTCAAGGATATGGCCTGGGATAGAGCTGGCTGGAAAAAGATGCATGAATTAGTCGCACCGACAAGAGGAAACTCTTAAATGAAAAGAAGAAGAATAATAATAATGAGTAATTGAAGTACTAGTTACCTACCAAAATTAGAGAGCAGGATAAAATTATTTACTTAGATTAATTGATATTTTCTACTGTGTAATTAATGGTTAATGGATAATTCAATAAATAATTTCCTTGGTTAACTATATCAAGCTTTTATTATACCAATTATATTCACTTTGTCTTCATTTATTTCTTATCGGGTAAAAATAATAGAATTCCTAAGAACTTTACCAGAGGGAGACTTTGTACTAAAGTTGTTTGCTTGGATACCTCTGTCCGTGTGTCCATTTGTGTTTCTACAATGAAGCAGTTGTGTTTGCATGGCTGTGTTTCGGTTTGAAGGGTGGAATAGGGCAATCAATTTACAGAGTACAGAGGAATAACACATGAGAACTTATAAATAAAATCGTCAGGATGAGCTAATAAGATTAACCTAACCATTCTATATACAAAACGCTATCCTTAGTTATTAGTAATAAATGTATCCAAAATTTATACACATTTTATTTCCCATCCCATTAATCGTCTGTTGTTAGTGCATAGATTTAACATAATGTACTTTTTTTTAATGGGTGATCATGGAATGATTATTCCCGCCTTCGCTAATGGTATACGCTGGGGGGAAAGGGATTGTTAGTAATGGAGACTGAAAATCCCATTGCTAGCAATATACCCAATCAGGTCGACCTCCTCGCGGTTCTCCCAGGAAACTATCATGGTTAATTCCTAATGAATTCATCATGATGGGCTAAATAGCCTGTTTTCATAAAAAAAAAAGGTATATGCTAGCGGGGCACCAATGAGGAATGATAAATGAGAATGAAACGGTAGGTCAGTTAGACCATCATGATAAATACACCTGAAATTCAACACGATGGTTTCCAGGAGAAACTACGTGAAAGACGACCTGACAAGGTATATTGCTAGCAAAATTATATAAAAATAAAATTAGAAGTATAATTATAATAAACAAAAATAAAAAAAATATTTTAATTATTGTTTTAATTTATGTAAAAAATTAACAATTATAATACCTTTGTATGTAACGACCTGTGCTTTTTGTAAATTAGTTAAATAGATACAATCGATTATGTCATTGACACTTATTGGCAATTTCTAAGGAATTGAAGTTAAAATTTATAGATATTCACGTATTTATTATTATTTTAATTTGAATACTTGAACCTTCAGACTATTAATTAGTTTAAATGTGATAATTTTGTCTGTCGATTCATATATAAAGTATTTGTTGTAGTTCTAAATATTGTATTTAAATAAATTAAATGTTTCAAGTTTTCAACCATATTTATACGTAAAACATATAATTCTAAATGTTTTCTTAGTTATTTATATTACACTCAGGTAATGCACACTTAATTCAAACTTAAGTTTTAGTGGCATATTGGGCAACACTGGCTCGTTGCCCCTGTAATTCACAGCCGTAAAACATGCATTAAAAACTCATCAAATTGTCAATATAAAAAAAAAAACAAATTGCTATTTATTTGTTTAGTTTCCTATCTATTTATTGAATTTTTTTTTTAATTAATTTCTTATCAATTGGAATTGTGTGTTGATATAACTAAGAAGTTATTTGCCATGGAGCAAACAAAGTTTACCTTATCGTGGGATGCGTATCAAAAGAGTTTTTGCGCTGGATTGGGATCACTACAACAAGTAAGTAATTATAACCCTCAAAAATTATTTTGTATTTATATCAATAACAAAAAGGGAAGTTAAAATGTCTGATAATAGAAATAATATTTGGTAAAAGATACTCGGTATATCAAATTATAGGTTGCATGCCAGTACCTAGTATTTTTTTATACTTAAGAACTACAAACTAATTAAGAAGCTACTGGAAAAAATATAATTATTATTAATAAATATTTAATATAAATAATATGATTATATACTTATTGCATTCAATAATGTGGTTATTAAATAATTAAACATATTTCACTATGAAACCTGTTGGCAAATAGGTGTTGCTAAAAACCTATTTGTAAATAGCTGTTGGTAAAAATGTAATTGTAAACTGTCAGTGACCTCTATAAGAACTAATATAATTAATAATTTAATAATAAAGTTATTAGTATAATATAACTCTAATAAATAAATTGAATTTTAATATATTTTCTAGAATGAAGAGTTTGTTGACATGACACTGGCGGCGGACGGGCACCATGTGAAGGTGCACCAGTTAGTGCTGTCTGTAGTGAGTCCATACCTTAAGGCGCTCATCACATCTATCAACTGTCCACATCCTGTTGTATTTTTGAATGTAAGCATAATGATCTTGTAGCACTCAAACCAATAATGTTAAATATTTAACACTTTATACAAGGAGCCACAGACAGCCCTCTATGTCGAGGCTGTTTCAACGCCGAAGAAACGGCTGCTCACGTAATCCTGGAATGTGAGGCTGTGGCCCATCAACGTTTAGAAATCCTCGGAACGGTGAGGTCGCTCCGTGAGGCCTGTGAAGAACCCAGGAAGCTTCTGCGCTTCTGGACGGAGCTAGGTTGGCTACACTAGCCACGACTCATACGCACAATGGCCCAAATGAGAGGCTAAGTGCGGAAAATGGAGTCCCTTTCACATTCACATTCACATTCACACTTTATACAAAAACCTTTTTATCTATTGCAGTTTTAAATATTGGTAATAATCTTAATCTTATAGCTTATTGATATTAGTATATTTTGGATAAAATTGTACACAATGGCTTAACAATAGGGTGGCAAGTCAGAGTGGGACCCTGGTTTGAAGGGCGGTGAGCATAGGAAGAATCTTACATTTTAACATTTCATAATTGTAAAAAAAATATTTATCTAATCTCTTTAAGATTTAAAGTATTAACTCAAGAACATGCACAAATTATATAATAATATGTCAAGATTTCAACAAGGCATTATTATTATTCAGATATTGTCATTGTTAATAATTATTAAATATTATAATAGTACATGTGGTGTTCACGTATAAAAGACTTACATTAGGCAATTTTTTTTTGTGTTATTGATTAAGTAGCATGTAAAATGTAAAAGTTGTAGGTGAACCTTATTAAATAAATAAATAAAAGGCATTTTAAGGTAAAACCAAAAATAATAACATTAATTTTAGTTATATTGATATATATTAATATTTACCTCTTGATATATTATATAAAAATGAAACAACATTAAGCTCCTTTAAATAAAGGAAGTGCCCCATCAGATCAATTTATCACTGACCTAAGATGATATAGTTATTGTCAGTAATTATAATTTACAATAACTCAAAAATTTAATTGGTCTTTCGATTAATGTGATGCATTCTAAACATTGTATTATTTATACAGAAAATATCATACAAGACGCTGTGCTATATCCTGGAGTATGTGTACACGGGAGAAGTGGTAGTGGCAGAAGAGGACATTAACGATCTGGTGGAAGCAGCCCAAGCATTGAAGATAAAGGGCCTCGAAGATATGGTGAGTCTGTAATTAATAAAATGGAACTTGAGGAGTCAAGAGCATCCTCAACTGTCATCTATACATAAGTTGTCCAAGTAGATGAGGCAAGAGATGTATGGGAGGGTAATGAATAAAGACAAATCTTAATCTTCAATGTATTTAATATAATTTGTACAAGAGCAAAAATAAAAACATTATTTTTGCCTTTTTCTATAAAGAGTCGAGAAGGAGTTTATATACCAATTATTAATTGAACATTCCGCCACTCAAGGACTATTATAGTCCTTCACAATGTAATAAACAAGTAACATAAAGTGAGATAACAGAAATCAAATTAGACATTTGTTAAGAAAATGAGCAAAATTTCACTTATTCAGTGGCAAAGGGCATAACATAGCTACAGGTCTCTTAAAAAACCTTACATACATATGGTATTTGTAATATATATAGAGTTAGGAGCAATACTGAACTGTATGCCAAAGACTACCATAGAGACATTCATCTATTTTTTGTTCATCCCAAAGGTTGACTAGTAGACATTTCCTAATAGCAATGTCTACCAGTCAATCTACAATTCAAACTGATAATAATGCTAATACATTACCACTCTTTGTAAGTCCTTTGTGTGTAATTTTCAAGTTTATAATAATACGTATTTATTTTAATATTACAGAAGTTGGGGAATAGTCTAAACACATCACTGGTTCTCCCACACATATCCACAAATACCACGCATTATCAAAATGTCTCCAATACAAATGAAGAGAGTGTTAACAAAGAATATAGTGACCAAGAGTAAGACATTTTATTTTTATTGTATAAATTTAATTCAATATACAGATGGACTGTATGGTTGGAATGGCCCATAGGATTTTAGTGGACGATAATTGAATGGCAACCCCGCTCACGCTGTTGGTACACACTGGCCGGTTTCAACAAGAATTAATTCCTCTGGAAAACATTTTCCAGGGGGAACAGCATAGAGGTTGACCAAACAGGGTATATTGCTGGTAATGGGGATTAACGTCCTCATCACTAACAATCCCTTTCCACCTGGTCCATAGGATCACGCAGGGTATGCATACTGGATTAAAATACAGGATTCTTCTTATCTCGATTCAAGTAAGCAAATTCACAGGTTTCATCTAGATATATAATAAATAAATTAATATTTATAGATTTAATTGGCAAACAAGCTGACAGCCTGCCTGATTGCAATGGCTGTTGCCGCCTATGGCATTGCAGAAACTTGCACATCACAAAATGCTCAATGCACTGCCCACAACAACAAAGGAATTCTCCATGTATGTCATTCCTGCAGACTATGGTGTTAGGCATTTATTAATATTGAAAAAAAGTATAAAAAAATAGAATATATTATTCTTATTTATATAATTTTCAGAATTATACATGAGGATACAATTGATGATGATCATATGGATGATGAATATATAACAATAGAATCAACAGATACAGTACCACTGAAACCAGAAAAAAATAAGAAAGACATCTTTACAGAGCCTACCAAAAAAAGAAATAAAGTAGAATCACAAATAAGTAAAGGTAAATTTATATTTCAATCTACACTAAGTTAACCTATTTACCCCTTTCAGGGGGGGGGGGGGGGAGGAAGGGATTGTTAGCGATGGAGTTCGACAGCCCCATTGCTAACAATATGCCTTATTAGGAAGTAAACACTTGGTAGCCTACAATGATGATCACACCTTGTTCTCTATTCAATAACAGTATGGTAAAATATCAAGTAGAAGCAACCCACCTCTGCTTCGTATGGTGTTTTGATGGGCTAATACCAATCTTCAAAATGGACCTGTCGAAATTTCAAATTAATAAACTAGTAGGTGTAAATTGGGTCAATAACCTAATATAGGAAATTGAGGATAAAAATTGCGTAAACAAGCAAAAGTTTAAAATTAACTGTTTATTTATCTGGTTGCAGACGTTAACTGCGGCGCGCTGCTGTACACGCTGTCGGTGCAGGGCTCGTTGCAGCTAATCCTGAACCGGTTCATGTACTGCCTACGCTATATCGGGCGGCGCGGCAGCCGCGGCGGCTCCACCACCAGGCGCTGGCGCTGCGTCGACTACAACATGCTGCGCTGCCCCGCCTCTGTCATCACCAAGGACAACGTTGTTGTGCAGCGGTTGGTTGCACTTGTTACGCTTGCTTGTTTACCATACTTTTTTTATACCACTGAGGTGGCAAACAAGCATACGGCCCACCTGATGGTAAGTGGTTACCGTAACCTATGAACACCTGTAAGTGTTAGTGGTATTACGCGCTCGTTGCCAACCCTAAAGTAAGTTGCTTAAATAAAAAAAACATTAGAGAATACATAGTATGAAATTAATCAGTCATTTATGCCATGCTTTACAACGAATCTGATCATGCGATGAACACGTAATAATGATTTTAGGATAGAATGTCATGACTTAAAAATTAGAAAATGAGTTCCGCATATAAACTATTAATCCATGTTCATTTGGAAAAAATATTCAATTTCACTGGTAGAATGTTACCTTAAAAAATACTAACAATAACCATTTTATCTTGAATATCACTAGTTTCTATTCGCGTCTTCGTCATTGTCCCATAAACATATATAGATTAACCAATGTCCGTCTCTTGAAAAAAAAACATGCATAAGTAGGAAAAAATCATATGAATATTTTTTTTAATATGCAATGGAGAAGTCGTTCTGCATCACATATTGTAGATAAACTACTTTTCATGCCAGCTAGTCAACTAGTTCCTGTCACGCGGACGAAGCCGCGGGTAAAAACTTGTTACTTATACAAATCAAACTATATTTTACTTGTATTATTGTATCATATAATAAACATATAAAAAAATTTTTTTCTTAATTTTGACTTGTTACAGGTCGTCAGCACATATACATCCGTTTCACGATACAAAAATATTAAAAAAAATACGTAACGGCGCTGTTTACACTGCTATACCGGACGCAGAGAAAAAAGGAGATGACATTAAGAAAAATAAACCACCCAGCAACGAAACGCCATCGAGCGCGGAAGAAACTCCGTCTAAAAAATCCATGTCCAACATAGATACTCCCTAATGTTTTTTTTTTTCTGTATAAATATTATTGTTTCACAATAGAACTTTTTCTTACAACCCTAAAAAATTACAACCTTTAATTCATTATCGTTGGCATTTCGCAGTGGAGTTGGGGTGCCTAAAAATTACATCTATATTATTTTTAAAACTTATGTTCATGTCGCTAACAACAAACAATGATTTTGATACTGTTTATTTTTTAATATAAAAATCGATTTTTATTTTTGCTATTATTCATAATGGTTGGATACCAGTAACGGATGATAGATGGGATGAAATCAGGCCTAGCCTAACAATAGAAATCATTGTGGTCAATTTTTGGTGAAATAGTTACAATACTGATTTCCTTTCATCTTCAACCACCCCTCATATTGGCCATTTATATTCCGTGTCCATCCTAAAATTACCAATCGGCCACCCTAGGTTCAGGAACGGAATTTTCCGCTACTAAAAAAAACATGTTGCAGATACGTTTTTATTATATGGTATGGGATGAAGATATTGATGATGAAGACATTTGGCATACTTTGTCTACGTAGACGAAGTCGCGGGTAAAAGCTAGGATTATATAATCCAGAATTCTATACTCTATTTAATAAGTGTTAAAATAATAAATAAAGTAAATTAAATGACAGATTAAAATATTTCATTTTTAAATTCGATAGAACCCAACACCTTAAACTATATTGGCAATACTGCTTTTTACTAAGTACCCAGAGCCGTAAAACGATTAATAAAAAAAAAAAGCTTTGTTTACAACAGTTTCACAACAACAACAATATTTTCATGTATTTTTCTTCGTCTCATTTTCATGTTAAATAAATATTAATTATCTAATATGACACTAACAAAATTTACCTTATCGTGGGATGCGTATCAGAAGAATTTCTGCACTGGATTAGGATCACTGCAACAAGTGAGTTAACCTCAATATGAAAAAGTGCTCAACTTAAAAAAATATTATATTATCACATTTACTGAATATAGTGAAGTATTTACAATAAATATTACTATTTACTAGTATTTACAAATAATATTTTAAGCAATACAACCTCTTTATTGTTTTTGTATGAAATAAATAAAAATACTTTCATTCAATTAATAATGTAATTGTAAACTATGGGTATATACCTGAAAATAAAGAGATTGATTATTATTATTATAGCATATACAGTGTCCTTTATGGAATGAGTTTTCAAATATTGTCACCCTCTCTAAAACTCCAACTTAAAAGATAAGACAAAGTATAATAAAATTTTACACAGATTTTGTCCTTTATAATATTAGCATTGAACCACTTTTAGAAAAGTGAGTGATCCAAAGGGCTGACTTTATAGCTTATTTAGCTCTCATTCATTTAGCACTACTGTTGCTGTAGATTATGTTCCAAATATTATCCTTCAGTGTGATGATGGATGATGAAGTAAGAGTTAGTACTCTTTTTCATCCCCAGGAGAATGTAAGAAGCGATTAGGAGAGTCTGCTACAACAAATCTATGGAAAAAAATGAAACCTCAAAATAGAAATCTATACTAAGCTTCCTGGTTAACTTATTAATAGTTAATTAACACGTTCACGCCGGCCACTGGTGGCCCGCGCTAGACTTTCTCATTGGACAATACGTACCACGGGTGATACGCACTAGTTTGTCTTATCTGGCTATTCTGGCGGCGCGTACCACCACAAAACATTAAAGTTGGCCCCAGCATGAACGTGTTAATATCCTTTTGCTATTATATTGGGCAGTAGGTACATCCAATAGTGAGATGTTAACAGGTATATCATGATGATAAAATATTATTTATTACTCAATTAAATATGATTCCTTTTTGTTATTTAATATTATCAATAATTTAACAAAGCAAACAAAGCCAATTTTTATTCTTGATCTGCATTTCAGAATGGAGAGTTTGTGGATATGACTCTAGCAGCGGATGGGCACCATGTGAGGGTGCATCAGCTGGTGCTGGCCCTCGCCAGTCCATACCTCAAGGCGCTCATTACATCGATTGACTGTCCACATCCTGTTGTATTTTTGAATGTATGAGTAATTATGTTGTAGCATTCAAAACAATGAAGTTACATTTTGAACAGTTTATACAGAAACATTTTTATCTATTGCAGTTTTTTTTTTATACAACTTAGAATGGCAAACAAGCTGACGGTCCACCTGATAGAAAGTGGTAACCGTCGCCTATAGACATGAGCAGTACCATGGACATAACAGAGTATACTGTTTCGCCCATGACACCCCCCATGCGTTGCCATTCCTGAGGACTCAGGTGTTATTCACAGAGGAATAACACCCAGTAAATTCACGCCAATAAATTCAAGTTTTAAATATTGATAATAATCTTAATGAATATCTAACTGTTTTGGTGATAGTATGCCTAAAGTCAAAATGTATAATTTATAATAACTCAAAAATACTGTTGGTCTTTAAATTGAATTCATGAATTATAAATATTGTAATTATTCAGAAAATATCATACAAGACGCTGTGCAACATCCTGGAGTATGTCTACACGGGGGAGGTGGTTGTAGCACAAGAAGACATCAACAGTCTGGTGGAGGCGGGCCAGGCGTTGAGGATAAAGGGTCTTGAAGATATGGTATGTTGGCTTTAATTTATTTGCAAAGCAGATGTTCGAATATATAAATTATTTTTGGATTAATTCATCATATAGATAGATAGATAATTTATTTGCATTACTTACAGCACACAAACAACAATAGACATAATGTACAGTGAAAAAAAATATATATTACACTATATTGTATACAATTCCATGTCCAAGTAAATTATGGCAACGCATGGGGGGTATCATGGGCGAAACAGTATACTCTGTTATGTCCATGGTACTGCTCATGTCTATAGGCGACGGTTACCATTTTCCATCAGGTGGGCTGTCAGCTTGTATGCCATTCTACGTTGTATAAAAAAAAATGTGTTTCTTGTCTGTTTACTTCTTCATTTGAGTACAGACGTATGAATTTTACTATATATTCTTTGGTTATTTTAGGAAGATGTTATATATTAGAGTATGTTAATAGCTGACTGGAATACTATAAGATGTTGCCATGTTTAAATAAACAGCATTGCACGAGGGGTGCCATCATCATATTCTGTGGTACAATCCCTAACGTTGTTTATATCTGTAGGTGACAATTACTTGACTCTCAACTCATTTAACATTCAAAGTTGAATAACAATATGTTATTATGTTACAGAATGTGGGAAATATTATAAACACATCCCTGGTCCTTCCACATGTGTCTGTAAATACTTCACATACGACAGTGAGTCCTCCACATGCAACCAAATCAAATGGTAGTATAGACGATGCTATGAGTGATACTGAGTAAGTAATTTTTATTTCTTGCTACTATAGCGACTCAGAAACCTGTGAAGAACCCAGGAAGCTTCTGCGCTTCTGGGCGGAGCTAGGTTGGCTGTACTAGCCACGACTCATACGCACAACGGCCCAAATAAGAGATTGATGATATTCACATTCACATTCACAGTGGCTCAGAATTATCTAGAATCGAGTTAAATACATTTCTTATAACTTTTTATGTTAGCACACTAGATTTATAACATTGATTTGGCTTGTGCTATAATGTTATAATTATTTTTAATGAATAAATAAAAAAATAACTGTTTATGTAACAATCTCTGTAGCACAGTGGTGGGCATGTCGCTTTTTTTTATGCAACTTAGAATGGCAAACAAGCTAACGGCCCACCTGATGGAAAGTGGTAACCGTCGCCTATAGACATGAGCAGAACCATGGACATAACTAGAAAATGAAGTATACTGTTTCGCCCATGATACCCCCCCCCCATGCATTGCCATTCATGAGGACTCAGATGTTATTCCTCTATACTCTGTAAATTCACTGCCATATCCCACCCTTCAAACCGAAACACAGCTATGCAAACACAACTGCTTCACAGTAGAAACACAAATGGGACAGAGATGCTCAAGCAAACGACTTTTGTACAAAGTCTCCCTCTGTTAAATATGTTGCATAAATACAGTTCCAGATTCAATTCCTAATAGGAATTTAGAAAAACAAACTTTTTTTAAAAAACCCAGTCCCTCATCATACAGGATATCCTAGCTTGAGCATCAGGCATTTGATGTGATTGTGGAACACTTACTAATTACTATTTTAGTTTGAAAACCACTGTCCATTAATGGTACACGTAATATAAAGACATAACGTTTTACTTTAGCTGCCTTAAGTAAACATACATTGTTTTATTTGAAGACAATTGTTAAAAAAGATATTTCCCACTCATTTTTCCTACAGATTTTTGCATCATAGTCGAAACATTAAATGTTGCGACCGTAGACTACACTGATAGAATGCGACGACAAGAGATAGAACGCAGTACGTTCTTTCTCTCTCTTGTCTATCATAATTAAGTTAATAATTCCTAAAACTTTTTATATTTAAAGGTTGTCATTCTTATCTGAATTGTTTACTATTGTCATAACTCTGTTAATAAATCTGTCATAAAACTGTAAAATATGCTCTTAAATAAATAAATACAAATTATATATTGTATTATTGTATTTATATGTAAATTTCAGAATTCTGCAAGATGATATATTTCATTCGGAAAATGAAAAGGAAATTGTACCATCAAATTCTGTACCAGGCAATATTTTGGAAGAAAGTGACATCAGAGAATCTACTCATAAAATAAGGAATGAAAAATTGATCAGTGATAAAGGTAAATTGAAGCAGTTGTTGGAATTTTTACCATTAATTTTTGTACTGGACATTAACCTTTCTTTGCATGATTTATTTTATTGGTAAAATAAGTCAAAGTAATATAATTCATGTTCAAAATTAAAGGAAAAATGGTTAAAAAATAAATTTGACAGCTGTTTTTTTTTTCTGCAATGGACATTAAAAATGTATCCAGACACGATCAACTTAAAGTGCACTTGTTCTTTTATATAATTTTTGGACATTCAATGTTATGATGGAAATTTCCATTATTATGCAAAGAAGAGTTAAAACATCTAGTGGATAGTATCGAAAATGCATCAGTATAAATGTGAATGTAATCACAATGTAAATCTTTGAATAAGCCATTCTTGGCGTACCATATTCTTGGTCACAGTGGCATAGCTGACATTTGTATTCTACTTGTCTATTTTCAACTGTAGTAACATTCTATTGTGTCCTTTTAAAAATACAAAATCCTCAAAACTTTAAACTCGACAACCTTTTAAGATTATAAGATTGTATGGTTAAAAAAAACATAATAAAGTAAGGTATAATGATTTCATAACTGCACCACTGCTATTATAGTTTAAAAACATAGTTACTAAAGCAGTTTTTAAAAAAAACACTGCTCAAACACCAAACAGTGGGACAAAGACGAGATATTGATAAATATTTGCCTTGTTATAGAGGGTGTGACGCTACAGTACACGCTGTCCAACCAGGGCTCGTTACAACTCATAGTGAACCGATTCATATACTACATGCGCTCCAAGACGCGGTCCTCGCGCCGCCTGTGGCGCTGCGTCGACTACGTCCGCAAACGCTGCCCCGCCTCCATCACCACCAAAGACAACGTTGTTATCCAAAGGTAAACTGTAATAATAATAATTATTATTTTAACCGTTAACTGTCCACAGCTGGACATAAGCCTTCCCCAAAAGGGGAGTTTTATCAGAAGTTGCTACAATTAATTATTTCTGTTATATTCAATAATCATCGACCATGATAGAATTTGTATTAATTGCGTTTTGTGCAGTGGGTTTGTTATATTAAACACCAAATAAATATTTATTCGTTTAATAATCGCCAATTTTCTAATAATACACGTATTCACTTCATATTTTACAAAACCAGAGACATTTTTTTTTTTTTCATTTATTGTGACTTTGGCGAAAGCCATCAGCCAAACCAGAGAGAAAGACAAGTTTTTCTGAATCAAAGACAATATAGATTAAACAAATGTCACAGACTGTATAATAACAGACTAATTTACAAAAAAAAAACTTTTATGAATTTCTTATTTATTTTATTTCTTTATTTATTTTCAGGTCGGCAGCACATATACATCCGTTTCACGACACGAGAATTCTAAAAAAGGTGCGCAGTGGAGCTGTATTCACTGCTATGCCAGAAGCGGTAAAAAAAGGAGAAGATATAAAGAAAAATAAACATGGCGGCGACACAAAATCTACAGAGATGGATGAAAATTCGGCATCTGAATAGTTTACAAGATGTTAGAGAAAGCAAGTCGGGTAAATGCCTAAAAACAAAATGCTTAAATGTTTTTCTGTCTAAAAATCATAATTCCAATTTTACTGTAAAATTAAGTAACGACCCTCTTAATTTATAGATTCTACTGTCTTTCTTGGAGTCACTGTTGATGGTAAAACGCAGTGGGAGCCTCGCATTCAAAGCCTTGCAACTACATGAAGTTCTACAGGGTACGCTGTACGCAGGGTTAAACAGTATACTAATATTCTATGGAATATTATTATGGGGTAAAGCAGCCGACATCTAAAGCATATTTGTATTATTAAAACTTGCTGTTCACGCAATTTATTCTATGGGAAGTCGTGAATAAATAAAAGAGAAATTTGAAGAAGCAAATATTCTCATCGTAGCTTCACAATACATGTACACAAACATTTTATATATACGCAGGAATCTTCAACTATTTCTTAGAAACAGCGATCTTAATAATATTAACACTAGATACAAATACAAACTTGCTGTACCGAAGTATCGTTTAGAAAAAGTTAATAGGTCTTTTATGGGAATGGGCATTAAATGTTATAATATGATACCGAAGGATATTTTGGATCTGCCTTTTAATAAATTTAAAACTGTTATTAAAAAAACACTTATGAAACGAAATCTATTATACACTAAACAATTACCTAAATGACAAATGTGCATGGTGTTAGTTGATCACGTACGATCTTTTAACGACCATGTAAATTTAGACATGTCAACAGATTCAAAAGAGCAATTGTTGAGTTTCCTGCGGGCTCTTCTCAACAGATAGCAACTTTCCGAACCCTGCATTTGTAAACAAGTCTATTTGAATAAAGAGGATTTAAATTTGAATTTAGAACGCAAATATGAGCAGCGACAAAATTGAGAGCAGCGTACCGCTAAAAAGGGCGGGAAATATTATTTTTACCCAAAACAATAAAATTGCTAGATAAATAACTTTTAATTAAAAGTGCCCGTAACCGGCGAGCGTGTATGAAAAGATTGATGAATGATGAAGAAGCGAAAGAGGTTTCTTTGAATCGAAGCATTTGGCGTTCTATTGTTTCTGCCTACCCTAATGGGAGACAGGCGTGACAGATATGTATAACTTTAATTCTCTGAAAGAAAAGTGCAATGAACAAATGGAGTTATTTAACTATTACAAACAATGATGCGGGCTGTGAGATTAATGTATTCAGAAATTTTGACAAAAATTTTTAAACTCATGACGGAAGTCACAAATAAACTAGTCAATCATCTAAAACAAAATAGAAATTCCCCTGATCTAGTAAATCCAGGCAGACATTCTGTGAAAATGTTGTTTTCTAAAACTACACTAAATGTAAAATATCAATATAGATAAAGGACGATGACTACCTACATCATAATAATATATTTTTTTTTACCAATAAAATATTGCCGTTTCTTTGATACCAAAACCTAAGAAAATATAATTGTGTAAATATACAATATTTATTATAAGTCAACGTCTTTTAATAGCAGCCGAGTGGCAGCTACAACCACCACCTAAACAGTCCTATGTTATCGCTAACTGCTTTGTAATAAACTTATAGTTAAACAGTTATCTGTACTATTTAAAAGCCTATTTTAATTCCTGTAAGCATGTATTTGGCAAGGAATACCACACATGTTTAGATTATACACAGCTTTGGTCTATATAAATGCTTTGAAAAAAGCGGGTCGTCTTTAGTGTTGCCAGATTGAAAATTATTACTTCTGATTAAAGTAAATAGTGGAATGTCATGACTTAAAATATTAGTATTAAATAATCCTTTATTATATTTAACTTTGTTTGTATATTTAATTATATTATTAATTAAGAATAATGCGTAGATAAAGAATAAAAATGCGGTAGATAAAACATCATAATACTTTCATATTGCAATCAAAATTAATAAAATTTTGAAGTAAAGGTTGAAATAGCTATTTGTGGATCCAAGTATATTTTAAATATTGACGGATATTGTCACTAAAAATGGTGGCCATTTGATATTTTTTTTTTACTTAACCGCGTTCGTTTATTACGAATATCTTAGAATCATTATAGACTTAAAATACATACTGGTGTTGAATTAATTAAAATGCAAGTCCTTTTAATTTTACGCAAGTTTTTGTAAATACCTACGTATGAAAATGAAAAATATGAGTTAATCAATTGTAATTAAATTACCTAAATATTAAAAGTATTGAATTATATTTTAAGTTAAGTTTAAATCCTTAATGATGTTTTGTTAATTCTTATCAAAATAAACATTTTTATTATTTTAAACAAAATGGCGGCTATTTTTTTAAATTCAGATACCAAACCTTTATTTTAAATATAAAAGTTTGTCACTTGATGTTCGCGACATTATTTGTATATATGTAATCGTGATTTATAGTTGTTAAGTCCCTAGTTTAATCGTTCTTGTATACTGTTATTTTATATAGATTTTACATAGATTTAAGAAATCTATATATAAGTTAAATAAAGTAATTTGTGTGTTGTCATTATTACCTACAAATAGAAATAGAAATGTAACAATAAATTGTAAATTGTAATAAATAAATAAACGCTATAGTACCGATCTGAAGAGACACGCGTCTCGTTCATTCTCGCCCCGTCCCGCTCACACAGATACTTTAAAATTTATCGTGCGAGCGGGCGGGTATAAAGATAGGCCGCCTCCCGTCAAGCGGCACATCCGGGCAGCGATATATTTCTCTTCAGACGGTACCGGAGGCTTCTAGTAATCGACTCCAGCCAACGCCCCTACAGTCCACGCTCACCGAACGGCAGTCCACACCGTTCATCGTGGTCCTTCGAGCCGGATTGCTGGAGGAACACCGTTGGTACATCAAGAAGCCGGATCGCTGGAGGAAGACCATTCTGAAGCCGGATCGCTGAAATGCCGACTACGAGAAACATGAAGTCGTCGCAACAAAAAGTCGCCGTCACCGAAGCCACAACGTTTACGTCGACTACGGCCGCCGGAACGTGTCCGTCGCTGCCACGCCGTCCGTTGCTGCCACCACGTCGTCTTGCGGTGAGGACATAAATTTCTCGCCGGATTTTACCAGTTTATCTCTCCGCGTTTTTTCCGGGGGATAAAGGATAAGGTACAAGGCCTCCGTCTCCTTGCTCAAACCCAGGATGTGCATATCATCTGGAGACCAAGGGTCTCACTCCCAAGGAGACGTTGCGGGTGCCCAATATATTGTGTACAGAGACGAGCGGTCCCCGGCCGGTACGGTATACCGTGGCACCGCTGTACTGGTCCGCCGCGACATCGTACACATTTTTTCCGCGTCATGCGCTCCATAGGATTTTAACATCGACGGCGCGGAACTAAATATTATCGCCCCCCGGTCAGATAAATGTCTACTGGACGGTAGGACACACGGGCGATCTAAGCCAAACACCCGACTTTGACATGTTTATTATACTCCTCCGTGACGCAGACAGTCACGGCTACGAAGTATAAAACACACATTCCCACGAATCGTAGACACTATCCAGACGTTCTGGACATAGATTTTCTTTTATTTGTAACTGTTTTATACGAAGATCTTGATCTCTCAAATTAGCATCCATTTTACGGCGACTTTTCCACGCCTGATTATCGATATACTAAATTAATAATCGGCCACAAAGTATTAAATAACGTTTTTCGAATGAAATATTTCGCGCAAAAGCACAAAAACAATAACTGTCTCTGCGGAAATATCGACTCGTCAGTAACTGTGGGTGAACACTTCACCCTGTACGCCCTTCTACAGCTCACTAAGGCACGACCCCCCGTCTGTCCGTTGTTCGATGAAACGGGCAGATGTTGTTACGCAGGACCGGGCAGAAATCCCAATAAATTGTTCCGCATGCCGACGCACCCAGATGATGTCGAGCACCATGAGCGCGTTGTACGTCGCGTGGGCGAGTTTCACACCGTTTCCGGACTTAATAAAAATGTTGCCCGGCGGTAACATCAAAAAGTACCCACGCCTGCACTCGCCCAGCTGCCCCGTAGAGCTTTAGTATTTATTACTAAGCTCTACAACGGTAATCTTTCCATCAAATCTCGTCATCATTAAAAAATAGACAAATAATAGTATTTGAGCGCGCGCTGCTCCGCCGGCTGTATTTCAAATCGTATATCTTCAACCACGTCAACTTGCGCGCGTGCTGCATCATATGGCCGTCGAGCAGGTCGACGCGTAGTCGGTGTTTTTCGATATAAAATCGACCGCGTTGCACGGCCTAACAATGTTGATGCACAGCACGCCGCAAGCTTATAATCGACATGAAACTTTTATGTTTCGGAAGAGATGGACTCAGGACCCAATCGCCGCCGGAACCGAAATGCTGCATTTCCCCAGCGCTATACGCGACGTACACGGACGACATTCCCACCTTGAGGGATGAGCTCCTCGAGGGAGAGAGCGATGTCGTTTTATTTGCCGACGACAACTTTGTCGTCGACCAATCAAACAAAAACAGCGCCATCTCGATAAGTGTTAATGTGGGGAAAACGGTCTGTAATTCCGCCGCCTCTCCAACTTTGTTTATGGATTTACCTAGAGAGATCGACCGGTCGCTGCATATGACAGCACAGATTAACCGCGCGGTCACACAGACCAGGACCGCGCGGGCCATTACCGGTGACTGCTGCGAACGAAGATAGGCATATACAAGACTTATATTCGTTCGCAACTGACGTATGCTGAATATCCGACGCACAGCGAGGCGCAACAGAACTGCGTTCTGCGTATGTGCGCAGACGCGGGTCGTTACGTACGTAACGACGTAATTGCAGATTCGCGGTCCCCTCGGTGGAAGAGTTCGTCCGCCGGCTGGCACGTACAATGTTCAGCCGGGCGGACTTCCTCCACGCGCGCCCACGTGCGACACGCGCATTAGCGAGATCTCCTGCGAAAAGCACAAAGCAAAAACCGGCCCTGCACGGTCGACACACAGTATATAATGCTCTTTCTTCCCCCACATTTGAAATAATATTTATACTTAACAAGAAATAAGGCGGCAGCCTTAAAGGTAAAGTGGATTTTGAATGATACAATTATATCAGCGACGCACTACACTCGAGAAGAAATAGGACAAGAAGAAAAAATTCTCTTCAGACGGTACCGGAGGCTTCAGAATAGTAATCGCTGTGTTTCATTAACAACGCTCACCGAACGGCAGTCCACACCGTTCATCGTGGTCCTTCGAGCCGGATTAGGAACACCGTTGGTACATCAAAAGTATGGAGGAAGACCATTCGTATGTTGAAATGCCGACTACGAGAAACATATCGTCGCAACAAAAGTCCTCAACCACACGTCCGCCGCCATAAAACGCTTTTCCATCCGTTTATTTTGTCAGATGTCATCTGTCGCTGCCACGTAGTCTACCGCCGCCACCACATCGACTACGAGTCCGGCGATACGACGACCACAGGAGCCACGGAGACTACCGAAGCCATAGGAACGACAGAGGAGACAAAGATTCGCACCACGGCCTCGCAGAAGAAGAAGGCTCTGGCCAAGGCACGGGAGGAGCTTTATTTTTAACATGGAAGCCGAATCAGAGGACGACGAGGAAGTAGAAGACGACGACGCTACCGTCAGAAGAGAACGAACGTCAGATTGGGTTCAAAGCACGCTGGCACTCACGATGGAGCCGCAAAGAGATACAGGCAAGCGTCAGGGGTTCGTCCCATCGATTGAATAAGCGCCGCCGCCACAGCCGAGCAGCGACGCACTTCACCAGGACCACGCACGCCACGTTGACCCGCATTGCCTACGATAGCAGCAGCGATGCAGTCGATGAAGAAAGATGCTGAAGGTTCGATTGCAATGAGTTTTTCGCCATGCAGATGGCCGCTTATTTCAAGAGTATTATTTTTTTACCATGGAAGATGGCTATGAAGAAAGCGCAAGTCAACACACAGAACAGGAGAACCTAGCAAGACTGCGCAGAAGTTTGAAGGGGGCAAAGGACGCGGCAATAATCATCGGGTCTACGACCGCAGAAGAAGTGATGAAGAAATAGGCACTCTATTGTTGTCAATTTTCGTCAGACAACTAAGAGACGTCATTCGCAAGCAAGGTGCAGAACGTTTTTAGGTTCAAGAGTCACTACCTCTACAAAAGAAATTTACGTCATATCGGTAGCTACGCTTCAAGTACTACGATTTCGCCAACGACCAACCGGAGGGACAACCGTCTCATAACACTCTCTCAGTTCCTGCAAAGGACCGCCGCACGATGTAATAAGGAGATACCGTCCGAAGACCGGCGGGAGTCCGCTCCTAGGAAGACGGCGAAGACATACACGACGCAAAACCCGCTTCACCACCGTGCTTATCGACGAGAGTCCAAAACTCAAGACGATGAAGGAAGCAGAAACATTAAAAGACTCATAGGCTGTGTTTCCGCTGCCTCAAAGTAAGAAGATTACGCCTGCAAAGCAAGAGATGTGGAGCTCACGTTCAACCAACAACAAGAATGAAGTAACAACACACGTGTCGAGGACAAGTCCGTCAGAGATCGGCAAGAAAACGACAAGATCGCTTTTGAAGATCCTGCCGATACGAGTCACCGGTCCCACGTCGTGCGACACCTGCTAACGGGTCTTGCACCATCATCGAGACGACGGTGGCGGAGCGAATCGGTGCTACGGGTCCCCCCGCACCATTCTACATGGAAGGTGTGGCCGGGGCACGGATCAACGCAGCTCAATCGACGCGTGTTCACTTCAAGATCCGCGGGCGGAATTCACAAGAATACACAGTGGGGGCACGGACGATGGACAGACTGCAGTTATCACCGCAGTCGGTGCCGCGCAGCGTCATCAAGGATACCACATCTACAAGACATAGAGAGGGAGTTGGTCTACGAAAATTGTTGGGGCAAGACAACTGGCACCTACTGCTGGCCCACGAAGTTAGAAGAGGATCCGACACGCAGCCGGTCGCATCACTCACCGATCTGGGATGGGTACTGCAACGAGTCGCGGCAGGACAAGACAGATACAGAATCAGCCATATATACGACACATGAAGAGGAACAATCGATGGAAGAAATGATGAAGCAACATTTCGCGCTCGAATCGCTGGGGATCGCACCGAAGAGGTCCTACAACGAAGAGGAACGTCGCGCCCTACGCATTTTAGAAGAGAAAACTCGTCCGTTACCGGCGGGAGGATACGAGACGGGGTTATTATGGAAGAAGGACGACCCTGTGCCGCCGGACAACTACGAATCGGCAATGCGACGTCTCCAACTGGTCGAAAGGAAACTCGACAAGAATGAAGAAATTAAGAAGAGGTAAACAAATGGACACGCTTAAGAACGGGTATGCCGAAGTCGCCCCGCCACGGAGTTCCCAACGGGTGTGGTAACACTTCGCCGTCATCAACCCGCAGAAACCGGGGAAACTGCGGATCGTGCACGACGCAGCAGCCAAGACGAAGGGCATCAGTTTGAACGACATGCTGCTGCCGGGCCCCGACTTACTTCAATCGCTACCGGGGGTCCTCATGCGGTTCCGGCAACGACGGGTGGCGGTCACGGCGGACATAAAGGACATGTTCATGCGGGTCACCATACGGGAAGAAGATAGGGACATGCAACGGTTCCTGTGGCGAGGAGATCGACGAGAGGGTCCACCTGTGGAATATAGGATGAAGAGTGTCATATTCGGCGCAACATCGTCACCGTGTACAGCGATCTACGTCAAGAACAAGAACGCAGAACAGTACAAGGAAGAGTTCCCGGAGGCAGCAACGGCGGTGGTCATGAACCACTACGTCGACGACTACCTCGCCAGCTTCGACACGGAAGAGCAAGCCGTACGCGTCTCAAGACAGGTCGCACAGATCCACGGTCGAGCCAACTACTATCTCCAACGGTGGGCGTCGAACTCGCATCAAGTGCGCGCCGCGTTCTCCGACACCGGCGGGGACAGCGTGGTACAAGACGCAGAAGATACTGGGGATGGTATGGCGACCTTCTGAAGACACCTTAGGCTTCAACTTCAACGGACACAAGCTTCCGCCACAGATAGCTAGCGGGGAACAGACGCCGACGAAGAGGGAAGCGCTACGAGCAATCATGTCGCTGTTCGATCCACTGGGCCTCGCCACTCCCATCACCATACAGGCGAAGAAGATATTGCAGGAGACGTGGCGTACCGGTATCAACTGGGACACCGAGCTGCAACCACGGGAAGCGGACGCCTGGCGGAGCTGGATGGACCACGTGCGACGGCTGTCCGCGCTGGAGGTGCCGCGGTGCTACCCGGAGGTAGCCACGGCCGATACAGCGGAGCTGCATACATTCGTCGACGCCAGCTCGGACGCGTACGCCTGTGCCGTGTACTGGCGGGCCGTAAGCGCGACCGGCGAGGTCCACGTGTCGCTGATCGCGGCAAAGGGACGAGTGGCCCCACTCAGCAAGGTGACCACGATACCGCGACTGGAGCTGCAAGCGGCCGTCCTCGGGTGTCGCCTATCGCGCACGGCAGTCGAAGAACACGACCTACAAGCCCGCTCGCCGAGTATACTGGTCGGACTCACGCACCGTGCTCGCATGGCTACGCACCGGTCCTCGCGCATACAAGCCGTTCGTCGCGCATAGAGTCGCCGAGATCGTCGAAGAAACGAAGACGAACGAGTGGAGATGGATACCGACGCGGCACAACGTAGCAGACGACGCCACACGCGACCCACCGACGGACTTCGGCTCGCAGCATAGATGGTTCCGTGGGCCGGACTTCCTGTACCTCCCCGAAGAGCAGTGGCCGCGTGAAGATAGTACGAGCGACGATAGTCAAGCGGAAACGGGAGAAGAACGCGTACACAAGCTACAGAACGCGACGCAGTTGTCTACTCGTATAGCATTACCCGATCCGTCACGTTTTTCTAATTGGTTGAAACTTGTTCGCAGTTCAGCACGAGTGTTGCAGTTCATCGACCTCCTGCGACCGACCAGTCAACGCTGTACCGCTATCCGAAAGAGAAACAAGAAGAAAGAGAGCGCCGACCCCACTTAGACCCGCACGAAGAAAGTCGATAGAGAGAAGACGAAGATGAAAATCAAGAACAGCAATAGTCCATCTGTGTGTTTCATCCCCATAGACACACACTACCTCGATCGCGCGCGACGGCTATGGATTCGCGCGATACAACAAGAGGCGTTCGGCGACGAAATCGCAGCATTGAAACATGGGAAACAGCTGCCGTCATCCAGTCGACTCATACAGCTGTCAGTCGTCATAGACAACGACGACATTCTGCGACTTCGATCGAGAATAGCAGCCGCCGCCGATCTGTCAGCCGAGCAACGAGAGCCCCCATCGTCGACGGAAACCACGCCTGGGTGCGCCTATACATCGCATGGGTGCATCGGAAACTTCACCACGGCGGCTTCGAGATCACCACGAACGAGGTGCGACAACACTTGTGGGTGTTGCGCCTACGACACGCCGTCCGCAGTGAACTGAAGAGGTGTCAGCTATGCCGCCTACGAAGAGCAAGACCGGCGCAGCCGTCAACGGGCAACCATCCACAGAGCAGGCTGGCGCATCATCAACGACCGTTCACGTTCACCGGCCTAGACTACTTCGGGCCTATGACCGTGACAGTGGGCCGCACTCACCAGAAGCGGTACGGAGTGCTCTTCACCTGCTTAACGACGCGCGCAGTCCACCTGGAAATCGCCGGCAGCCTCAGCACGGACTCCGCCATAATGGCCCTGCGGCGCTTCATAAGCCGCAGAGGGTGTCCCACGGAATTATGGTCCGACCAAGGCACCAACCTCAAAGGTGCTGACGTCGAGTTGAAGAAGGCAGCCGAGGAAGCCATCCAAGAAGAGTCATCAGTCCATTTCATCCGGTGGCGCTACATTCCCCCGAGCGCACCCTTCATGGGAGGTGCGTGGGAACGGTTGGTGCGTAGCGTGAAGCCGCACTAGCCGCCACGTTGAACGAACGGGCGCCCAAGGAAGAGGTCCTCCACACTTACTGGTCGAAGTCGAGCACACCCTCAACAGCCGACCGCTAACCCACGTGTCGACATCGGCAGACGACGACAGCGCCCTAACCCCCAATCACTTCATATTGGGCGGTCCATCGCGCGTCCCACTGCCAGGCAGCTTCACCGAGAGCGACGCGGCGGGACACAAGGAGTGGCGTGCCAGCCAGAGGCTAGCTGACTGCTTCTGGAACCGGTGGGTGAAGGAGTACCTACCCGAGTTGCAACACCGGCGGGAGCCCCGAGCTACACACGGAGCCATCAAAATGGACGACCTGGTCCTGATAATGGGACCTTGAACACGTGGCCGCGAGGCGTTGGCAACCTGACCAGACGGCGAGATCCGAGCGGTCGAAACGAACAAGGGCATTCTACGGCGACCCACTAAGAAGCTGATCATACTGCCCACATCGACATCGAGCGACGCGAACACGAGTTAACTCCAGCTACGAGAGCTGCGGCGGGAGATTATGTTCGCGACATTATTTGTATATATGTAATCGTGATTTATAGTTGTTAAGTCCCTAGTTTAATCGTTCTTGTATACTGTTATTTTATATAGATTTTACATAGATTTAAGATACCTATAGTGTAAGTTAAATAAAGTATTCCTTTGTGTGTTGTCATTATTACCTACAAATAGAAATAGAAATTGTAACAATAAATTGTAAATTGTAATAAATAAATAAACGCTATAGACCGATCTGAAGAGACACGCGTCTCGTTCATTCTCGCCCCGTCCCGCTCACACAGATAACGCGAGTTGGAAATGTTATCGTGCGAGCGGGCGGGTATAAAGATAGGCGCCTTCAAGCGGCATAGCGACGCACTACACTCGAGAAGAAATAGGACAAGAAGAAAAAATACTCTCTTCAGACGGTACCGGAGGCTTCAGAATAGTAATCGCTGTGTTTCACTCCAGCCTGAACCAACGCCCCTACAGTCCACGCTCACCGAACGGCAGTCCACACCGTTCACTTGACAATATCTGTTTTTCATACCTGCATAAATATTATATTTATATTATAAAAAAAATGGCATAAAATACAAATAATAATTTAATTCTTATTTATAATTTTAAAGAAGGATTTTATAATTTATTTATTATTCCACCTTTCAGGAATTTTAATTGAACTGTAGGGATTTTTCGAATACTTGCAGTACTTAAAATGGCGCGAATTTTTTCATAAGATATGAATAACTATTAATGCTTAAAATTTATATATTTACGGGTTAGTGATTCTTTTATTACTTCTATTTTTCATCTTACAATTTTTGCTCCTTTTTATTGCGCAAAAGCTCTTTTTTATATTAAGTTTAAAGAAGACTATTACAAAATACGGTTAACTGACTAAAAGTTGACACTTTTTTAAGACTTGCTTTATCTATATAATCTAAGCACACATGTACCACATTTATGTAATTGTGTTTACTGAAACCTAATTACACCCCAAAACGTGAAAATACAGATTTTTATTACACCCTTCAATATTTTATAGAAGCCTATAGCGTGTAGATAAACTGCTTATCTATCTCTCTCAAATATATATTTACATATATACATGATTTTAGTCTTTCTTAAGTAATTCATTTACCTACATAGGTATTTTTAATCTGTATTAGTATGTAAGTCAATTCTTTGACAAACCATTATCGGCATTGACATTTTACAATTGACAGCTATTTCGAAGTATAGAAATTATTTGCTTGGGTGTGTTGTATTTGATAATTATTTATGTTTATAAATAAGAATTATTTACTACTAAATATTCGAATAATTATAAAACGACACAAAACTTAGACTATTTATAAATAACAGTAATTATGGCTCAATCTCAGTTTTCAGTGTCATGGGAAGCATATCCGACTAACATTTGCAATGGCTTGAGTGCACTTCAACAGGTTTGTTTATTTTTAAGTTCATGATATAATGTGTTCTGGAACAATGAATACAAATGTGATAATTATAGTAAAATTAGGTACATTTTTGATAGTTTTCCAAGTCAACCATTTCTTATGAACATCCCAGGTAATGTAGCTGGTATGCTGTATGCGATATAGTCTGCATACTAACTAGCTCCAGTTTAGTATTAACTAAAGTACAGCAGCAGTTGCCTATTGTAAAGATGTCTAACTTATGGTCTTAAATGCTATGAAAAATGAACACGACAGACAATTCTTTAAACTTTCCACTAGGTTAAAAATAATAATTTGATATCGTGGTGAAATTGTTATCTCTTAGGACCAATATAAATAAATTAGTATGTCTAGATCTAGATTAAAAAAATAATGTTAATTGTGAATTTTTGCATGCTATCACCTTGTTAGCTAAGCACGAATGTTCTTTGACTATTGTAACATCTTTGACTTTACTGTGTTTAAGCAAATAAAGATTATTATTATTATTATAGTAAAAGATTATTTAAAATATCTAACATTTCATTACATTATGTCGCACAAACAGTAATTATGTGAAATTATCGAATTAAAATATTAGGTTAAGAGATAACTTTAGAGAAATGATGCCTCAGAATTGACTCCAATGTATTTGTTTAATAGTATCTACTGCTAAAAAAAAAATATTTTTTAATTAGATTTAGTTCAAAAGTCGTTTGCTTGGGCACCTCTGTCCCATTCATGTTTCAACCGTGAAACAGCTGTGTTTGCATGGCTGTGTTTCAGTTTGAAGGAAATCCTCAGGAACGGCAATGCATGGTGGGTATCATGGGCGAAACAGTATACTCTGTTATATTCATGCTACTGCTCATATCTATAGGTGACGGTTATCACTTTATGGTCTGTCAGCTGGTTTGCCATTCTAAGTTCTATAAAAAAAAATTGTAGTGATGTTTTAATTGTTTGTAAAATTATTGTATTAGAAGGAATTTTTGTAGTCACAGTAAATAGTTATATTAAAAATTTTAATATTTGTATAGCTAATATTAAAAGGCATATTACTTAATGATAAATAGGATCCATGTTTTTCTCCATTATGAAAATATTTATGAAAAAGTAAGATTTTGAATTGTCCAAAGAAAAAGAGCAATATTTTAATTAGATATAGAATGTCATTTGTCATAAATCTAACTAGCCAGTAACAGAAATGTAATCATTGTTTCATCTAGCCTGTAGGTTGATATATTACGTCTACAAATCTAACATACTACAGTGCTGCCAGCTAAAACCACTGTGGCATCAACAATGTATATCAGACTCAATAAATATATAGTTAAATATATTTTTTAATATCTTATAATGCCTTTGGTGACTTGTCAGTTACACCATGCTGAGTATAGATTTATTAGTTCTCTGCCTTCATGTTCTATGTCTTTTTTCATACTTCAGAATGGAGACTTTGTGGACATGACTCTAGCTGCAGATGGCCACTTTGTGAAAGTACATCAAGTCATAATGGCTCTTGCTAGCCCATTCATAAAAGACATCCTTGGTTCTATGAGCTGTACTCATCCTGTCATCTTTTTAAATGTAAGTATTTTATGTGCATTGATAATTTAATCTGTAAGTTAAATACAAGTTGTGCAAGAATATCATAAAGTGGACTGACATGAGAATGTAATAACAATAAACTGTTACAAAAGTCACTATCTAGATTCAAAAAGTTTTTTTTTTTATTTATCAAAAGGTATACACAACAGGTTACAATCAATAACATTATAAACATTTATATAAAAATAATAGTTTGAACTAGTTTGAGACCCAGACAGGTGTACATACAGCATGGTTAAAGCAGTCGGCAAACAGTGTTAAATTATAAATTATATAAAGAAAGCATATGAATGTGGTAAATAACAATTAAGTACATGCAAATAATAAAAATACATAAAAATATAGACATGTCAAAGAGACTTGATGGCTGAGTGTAAAATGTTTTTGAAGGTGTTTAGATGTGAGTTGAAGATATCAATTTGATAAATGTTTAATTGACTTACTCTTTGATTTGCTAAAATTTCTTTAACATGACTTATAACATTCTCAGATTATTTTATTTTTATTTTATTGGCACATTAAACAGATCATACCATAAAAAAAAAAACCTTAATAATAGTTACATTTGTGATTCCGCTAAGTTATAATCCAATTACATTATGTGCACAGCTTAATTCATGAAAATTGCTCAGTTCTCTAACTAAAGCATGCTAAAGTTACCTGAGATTACCTCTTAAATGTCACAAGTACTAAGTGTTCCAATTTCGAATTCTCCTATAGATGTTTGAATCTTGAAGTGTTTTTTTAGTGACAAAACAACTGACTATTTGATAGATAGATAGATAATTTATTTGCATTACAGCACACAAACAACAATAGACAAATGCAATTTTCATATTTTATAACAACAACATTAAACTCTGATATGCTGCACAATTGTGGAATTAAATCCTTCACTTTTTAAATATTATAAAAAATGATAAAAACTGTTATATTTCTGCTTTAAGATACCAACAACCTTTTTTTTTTGGACGTAGTCAATGATTCGAATTTCAAACCATAAGTTCTGTTTGCATTCATAAATAAAATTATTCACATAATAATATTTGTATATTTGTTTTAGAAAATATCATACACCACACTTAGTTCAATACTAGAATATGTCTACACGGGAGAAGTATTGGTGTCTATTGAGAATCTTAGCGAACTAATACAAGCAGGAAGGGAGCTGCACATCAAGGGACTTGAAGATATGGTACATTATTAAATATTCACATATAAATTTATTTATTTATAAAGATAAATAAAAATAGTAAGAACTAATAAAATATATTCAAATTCCAAATATACAAAATATAAACTAGTAATTCAATTATAAAATATTGAAAAAAATGTTTGTTTTGTTTAGAAGCTGCACCCAAATTTACCGTCAAATCAGCGGCTACTGGTAAACAACACAACTGTGGACGCAATGGATGAAGAGATTTGTTACTTTGAAATATCTGAACCTAAAAGTGTGGATGCTAATTCTAAGTATGTACACTATATTCATAGGAACTTCCTTCGGTTTATAATATAGATTTTTTTATTGTATTATTATTATATTATATTATTATTATTATATTATATTATTATTATTATATTATATTATTAAAGCCCAAGTCAGGCCGCATATGGAATACTGTTCTCACCTGTGGGCAGGAGCGCCACAGTACCAACTCCTTCCGTTAGACCGCATTCAAAGTCGGGCGGCTTATTTCAACGCCTTACTGTCCGACTTGACCCATTGATTCAGAGATGTTGCGTCTCTGTGCATCTTCTATTAATTATCATGGTCATTGTTCGTTGATACCTGATTTTCACCACCGTACAACCCGCCACAAACTAAAGTTTCATCCCAATCATCTGGACGAGTGGCGGTCTTCCACCGTGCGTTTTTCAAGGCACTTTCTTCCACGCACAACCATATATATATATATATATATATATATATATATATATATATATATATATATATATATATATATATATATATATATATATATATACAGATTGATCACTTCCAGTCTAGCCATCCATTTATTTATTCTAAATTCATACTAAATTAAATATATTCTAAATGTAAAGATTCGATTTAAAGCCATATGCTTGCAGGACAACATCCAATATAATATTTTTTCTTCCAGTGCATCCGATAGTTTATGCCCATTAAAATTAGAAGAAGTCACTGTGGAAGAAAGATTAGACGACACAGAAGAGAAATTCAATAATGATTGTAATATATCCATGAGTAGATTATGCAGTGAGAAAGCGGATGTCGGTTCTAAAAAACTTGATACCAATAGTAAGTACACATGTGAAATAAATATGTTATTTTGTTATGTATAAGTAAATTGTTCATGTTTACACATCAATTTAAAATTGCCAGTAAAAAAAAAAAGTCTATGGGATGAAAATGGGAAAGTAATGAGTGATGATAGGTGAAGATGAATTCACTAACATGGTATTCAGTTAACCATGATGGTTTCAAGGGGGACTTCATGAAAATCAATCTGATAGTGTTTTTAGAGGGGTTAACGAACGAGGGTAGCCTCATTGTTACTCTATCAGATTGACCTCCATTCGGTTCCTCCTGGAAACCATTGTGGTTAATTCTTGTTAAATTTACCACGATGTGCCAATTGACCTGCTTCTATCTTCACTTATCCTTCACTAATGCTTCGTCAGCGTATATAGATAGCGTAGCGGAGTTGCCATTTCATTATCATTTTAAAAAAGTTGAATAAATTATAAAAATTATTAAAATAATATACTCCAATCAGTCAATCAATTTACTCCATTTTTAAAAGTTCCTTGCTTTGCTTTCGTAGCTAGATCCAAGTTAAGACAAAAAAAAACTTTTTGATACAGCAGAAGCCATAATTAAGTGACTATAATTTAATTTGCGAATCTAATTTTCCTTTCATTTTAAGATTTATTTATTTTTTCTTTTTTATTTAGAGGCTTTTATTCCATAAGGATATGTCAGCCTCATCATACCCTAATCTTAAAGAATACCTCACATACTTAAAACTTTAATACATAAATAAATAATACACAATATCTCGGTAGTTTATTATCATAAAGGGAATTATTGATACAAAAATATAGTAATTAAAGATTTTGCCATTCCGGAATGTGGCTCTGCGAGTATATTTGAAAATAAACCAATCTCCTGTCTATTGAGATTATATTTCTGTATCAATTCTTCCCTTTGTGTTTTGTATTTCGTACATTCAGATGTCATATGGTGAACATCATCCAATGTGTTACAAACATCACATTTTAAGATAAGGCATTGCTTGTCAATGCCCCCTCCCCTTCCCCTCAGCTACAGCCATGGTCCCTTGTAAAGGTTATACTTGTGTGATGTGGAGCAACTGATTGATAGATATTGCAACCGGTCGACAGACGTGATGAGCGTGATGCAGTACACGGTGTCCAACCAGGGCTCGCTGCAGATGATCCTGAACAGGTTCGTGTACTATCTGAAGCACACGAACAGAAACAGCACGCGGCAGTGGCGGTGCGTGGACTACGTCAGCGGCGTCAAGTGTCCCGCGCACGTCGTCACCAAGGGGGATGTCGTGTTGCAGAGGTAACTTTACTATCTTTAGTATAATTTTCTTGCAATGTTAGCAGAGAAGACTAACCTTTACCAGAGGGAGACTTTGTACAAAAGTCGATTGCTTGGGTACCTCTGTCCCATTCGTATTTCAACCGTGAAGCAGTTGTGTTTGCATGGCTGTGTTTCGGTTTGAAGAGTGGGATATGGCTTGATTTTACTGGGTACAGAGGAATAATACCTGAGTCCTCAGGAATGGCAACGCATGGGGGGTATCATGGACGAAACAGTATACTCCGTTATGTCCATGGTACTGCTCATGTCTATAGGCGACGGTTACCACTTTCCATCAGGTGGGCCGCCAGCTTGTTTGCCATTCTAAGTTGTATAAAAAAAGAAACTCCCAACGATCTATCCTTACATACAGATTGTCTAACGTTAACGTGGCACGCTCTTCTAAAAATTTACTAAAATGTGTGTGACCATACACAGATGTGTGATCTATTTGTGTGTGTGAGGAAACGTCTTCAGTTGACGTCTGGTCAGAGGAGTATTATATTTCTCGATCGAAACTTTGTAAATATTTTTACTTACACATTTTTAATTATTTTAATGTTAAAGGGCACACCCCTGGGCATGTTATCATAACAATCTATACGTACATATATATATATATGTGTGTGTGTGTGTGCGTGCGTGCATGCGTGTGTGTGTGTGTGTATATATATACATATACAAATATCCTTCTTGCTCTTTCATATCTTTCGATTTCTCAAACAGAAAATGGTCTATCTGATCAAAATAAGTCAGTCTAGTTTCTCTCGGTACCTACACCTATCTGCTTTCGTATTAACATTTAATTCACGCTACAAGATGACAGACAAGTTAATCACTGCTGCGCAATTTCCAATGGAATTGTGCAGCGATTGTGCATTATTTAATATATTATGTTTGTGTGTGTGTGTGTATTGTGTATGTAAATTTACTTAGTTATTAGTTTATTACTTATTTATTAGTTTTAAGAATACTGTTACTAATAAATATTTAATGGACCAAAAAAGTCTGAAATAAAATTATTATTATTATATCATAGGCTCATACATATATATTTTAAATCGCCTTTTCGCTAGCGGGTTACCAGTGAGGTATGATAGGCGAGGATGAAGTCATGTCAGTTCGCCTGTCGTAGTGAATTTACCTAACAGGGTATATTGGGGGGAAAGGGATTGTTAGTAATGGAGACTGAGAATCCCATTGCTAGCAATATCCCCAACCAGGTCGATCTCCTCGCGGTTCCCCCTGGAAACTATCATGGTTAATTGCTGATGAATTCATCATGATGGGCTATCTGGCCTGTTTTCATTCTCATCTATCACCCTTCACTGGTGCTCCGCCAGCGTATACCGTTAACGCAGGCGGGGTTACCATATCATTTTCACCCATCAAAAAAAACAGGGTATATTGCTATCAATGGGATCTACTTAAAATAATCTTTATTACTAACAATCTCCCCATGCGTGAGCGATACTATAAACACTACCAGTACTGTATTGGTTTAGACGGTCGTTACTCCATCAGGTGGGCCGTCAGCTTCTTTGCCACTCAAAGCTACTTAATAAAAAACTTCATTTTGAACGTTCCAGGATCTCGGTACACACACATCCGTTTCACGACAAAAAGATATTGAAAAAGGTACAAAGCGGCGCTATATTTTCAGCCATAACGGAGGCCGAGCGAGAAGGCAAAGAGAAAAGACGGGCAAACGACACTAATGTAGACAGTAATGCATCAAAATAAATATGTATTTTAATTTATAACTGTTATTTTACTATCAGCCAATGTTACTAGAATCCTTTTAATTACTAGCAATCAAATGTCAGGATTGGCATGTTTTACAGCGCACGCATGCGATTCAGGTACATTGAGATACTATTTTATATAACATTGCTGAAAAATGAATTTTGATAAAAAAAAAAAAATAAACATAATAAAATATAAATTTATTGTTCCCGATTCAACGTCTTAAAAAATAAATCTTGTACAAAAATATGGAATTACATCATATTACAATAATGAGCAAATATTTTTATTATATAATAAATAATATTTAAAAAAAAAATTGACCATAGACTCGTCAATATTCGTATTCGATTTATAAATGATTTTATTTGTACATTTCAATATAAAAAAAAAGCGATGAAGTTAAACGAAAGGCACATATTGGATTATACATAAAATCTATTACTAACAGAGGGTAGTATTCAATAAACCCTATGTCAAAAATATTTCATATAAATTTTAACTAGCATAACGAAAAACATTACAATATGTATATTCTATCATCAACATTTACATATAAGTATCTTACAGAAATTGATAAAGGACGAGAGATTCAAAACTATATTGGTATATTTATTATAAACATCGCAAGGGGACGATCAGTGTTTTATTCAACAACGTAATATCCTGTAAAATCAGTCTATTTAATAATATAAAATTACCTCACTATGAGATATTAAAAATTGGAATGTATTTGATATAATATCGCATCTTATTATAAAGGCACAGATAGTGTTCCTTGAGATTCTGGAAAACCCTTGGGGCATTTAACGTTGACCATGTAATTTGGATTTTCTCTCGGATAAACTACAAGTTTAATGGTGCTTCTATCAGTAAAGTTGAGACAAAGAGTTTAAGAAACAATGAAATAAAAAACATTCTTGTAGAAAATGATAATAATAGTAAATTGCTGTTTCAGATAATGTACGAAAATGACATGACATTTTGTCTGTCAAATTAGAGTGCTTTTATTCTCTAATTTTGGAGATAAAGTTAAGTGAATGTCGTTTAGTAAATAGTGAGTTTGAGACTGACTAGTTACTCTCTCAAATTATCTATATGTACAGCCCAATTATGTCCACAGTTGGACGCCCTAAGGGTTTCATGTGAACTGTAACAAAATAATAAAATGCACACTTAAGTACAGTGTAAAGGACAAACATCAATCAGGCCAGCTGATACTTGACGAATGTCGGTAAAGTAAATGCAGCTTTATGTACTTCGCTATTGTAATACCTTAAATTCATGGCTTTCTCGTCCTCCCTCGAGAACACTAATAGCGGGGTGTCCAATTTTGCATCCTTATCCAAGGAACCCACAACGAATCCTATCTGACCGGATGGGTAGGTGGGAACTGAGGCGTATGCGTACGCCGCTACTGCAAATTGATTCTTACAGTACCTCAGAGTACTTGTCACTAAGTCCAGATCGTTCCAAACCGTACCGGCTTGCGAGCAGACAATACCGCCCGGTTTTAGCGCCTTTTTCATAAGCGTAAAGTAGTTCTCTTCAAAGAGGTGGACAGCCGGCCCGATGGGGTCACTGCTGTCTGTGATTATCACGTCGAATTCTGCTGTATGATTTTTCAGAAACTCAAATCCGTCGCCTACGTGAAGTGTGAGCTTTTCGCTCTCGAAACCAACTGCCATAAAAGGTAAGTACTTCTTTGAAACCTCTATAACTTTTGCGTCGATTTCTACCTGTAATTTTATAAAAAAAAAAAATATTGTGATGAATTAATTTTTTTAATGGGCTATCGATATACGCTAACGGGGCACCAGTGAGAGAGGATAGGTGAGGATGAATGCAGGTCAGTTCGTGTTCGTGACAAATTCAACAAGAATTAACCACAATGATATTCAGGGGGAACTCCATGGAGGTCGACCTGATAGGGACAATGGGACTTTTGGACTCCATGTAAGTAATAAGCAATATTTTTAAACAATACTAAAAATATTCTCTCTTTTAATTATTATATAAGTGAGACCTATGTATTTATATATAATGTAATATTATATATTTTAATATTTTAATATTTTTAAATTAATAGTACTAAAAACATCGATCGATTGTAAAGAAATATATATGTTATGTTATAGCCAGAAAGAGAGTGAAAGCGAAAATGGCTATGAATAGAGAAGAAAAGCCGAGAAAAACATATTATGCTAACTTCAAACAGTAATTCATGTAAAGGTAGGAAGATGATGAAATAATACAAAAAAAAAAACAGAGTCTGCAGAAGAAAATGTTTCAATGTAAAATAAAGAACCAACTTCTTACATGAAAAATATACGAAACTATACAATAACTGAGCCCTAAAAGATAATGTAATCATTAATTGTTCATAACGACACAATGTACGATTATTAACGGGAGTCCTTATCTCTTAATGTCACTCGACGTATTCACTGATAACAAGAGTTACATGAAGTTCATTTGAATTTTTATTATTAGATACTGTGTTATATTTAGATTAACTTTATAATACAATTGTTATTGTGGAGTTCACTTGAAAAACGCTCTATTAAAGCGTAATATAATATATTGGATGATTATGATTGAACTTTTAGAAACGATCTCTAAATTAGGAGATAAAAATAATATCTTCACGTTATGCCACTTATGGGGAAGACAGAGAAATCTACGGGTCCAATTTTTATCTATATCCAATAAAAAAAAAAAGATTTCCAAATCGGATTACAAATGCAGCTTTTCATGTAACAAACATAAAAAAAAATTAATTGAGAAGCTTCTTTTCTGAAGTCGGTTAACAAACTGTTATTGCTGTAATATTAGCAAGATAAAAGAAATATTGCTTAAAACATTACCTGGACGATCTCTTTGACCTTGGGATGCTTTGCGACCTCCCTGGCGACGCCGCCATCGCCGCCTCCGACTATGAGCACCTTCTCAGGGTTTTTGTGGCAGCACAGAGGCAGGAATGATATCATTTCCTACAATAAATAAATTAAACATATAATTCACTAACTTTTACCAGTGACTTCATCCACATGACTGGGATATGTTTTCAGAATGGAATAAAAAGTAACATAACTCCTTATATATACACTAAAATATATAGTAACAACAATAAGTTAATAACAATATTAGCAAACGCGAATTTATCTCTAAAAGAGATTTATAATATTCATAAGGATTTATTAATTAGCCTTTATTTAGAATATTTTCATTTACATAAAAACCTTTTACATTACAATTTTACAGTATGTTTTCAAGTATTGCTCCTAGCAAAGGGCTCCTACAAGGTTTTCCATTTTTCCTTACAGTATGTAATATTGAAATATTGCATTATTCCGTCTTCACATTTTATCTTAAATATTCTTAAATATTTACTTCTTAAAAATGACAAAAAAGAAACTATTACGGGACAAGGAGGCATAACATTTAAGTCTTTAAAAACGACAATATTTGAAGAGTACTATAGATATCACAGTATATTCTGTGAAGTCCACAGTACTTATCTATTGTTGACAGTTACCACACTATTATCAAATTAAATGTACAATTTTAATGACCTTGGTGGTATAGTGGTTTGACATACTATTGTCTTATCTTTCTATAGTTAAGCCCCCCCCCCCCCAAACCTCACACAAAAAAATTGTATTCATATGTATGTTTATATTTGTCTCTTTTTTGTATACCTTAATTTATAAAATCCTATTTCAGAACATTCACTCATGTCGATTTTTGAAACCCTTGATTATGTTAAATAAAATACTTAATAATTTAAAAGATTAAATAGTTTTTAACTAAGCTTATTTTCTGTTCTTTGGTTATTTTATCTGTCACCTGACAGTAGTGACAACAGTAAGAGGTGACTAATGAAGCTTATAGTGGAGGGGCGGGCAGCAGTGTCCCTCTTAAAACATAACCAAAAGGCAAACTGCAGTCGCCAACCTGCCTACCAAGCACAGCAACTACTGCAAAAACACCTCTTATGAGGAGGCATGTTCAGCAGTGGACAGTTAACTAACAGTATGGAGCAAAAAATTTAGTATGCCAAGTTAGCTAGTAACATATGTATTTACAAAAAATATATTTAGATATATCTATGTGTCATTTAGTATGTATAGCAAAACCTTATCACTTTCTTTCGAATTAAGAGTTTATTGTATAAGAAGAGAAAACACTTCAATAGCTAAATTAGATTTATGAAATATTTGATATTTTTATGATTAAGGGTGAATAGTGTAATATTTTATTTATTTATTGTGAAAAACTGACAAATTGGAAGCAATGATATCAGACCTGATATGAGAATTCATCTTTTTGGGTGCATTGTATGATTCCATCCAGGACCAACACTTTGCCAAGGTGCGTGGTGTCAAACACATGGATCTGTTGGTACGGTGACTTTTCTTCGTGCAGCAATTCCTTAACTTCAAATGAAAAGGTGGCACCTGGCCACATGTCACAAGTCTCTGAGAACCAGTTTGGTTTCAGTGTATTCATGTTGCTGCAATTAAAATAAGTAAATGTTAAAAGATATACTATCTATCCTAGACAGAAGAAGTTACTCAATTTAAACACATACTTTAACCAAAATATTATATGAATAGACAAAAATTTTGATCTTGATAAATTTATAAATAATTAATTAAATAGCTGACATAAATGTAAAATTCCATAAAAATGTCAACATGTTTACTAATAAAATATGATAAATTTGTAATGAGACTAGACAATAAAATTTTGTAAATTATGAATAAATGATCTGGAACTGTATCACCTCATAAAGTACTGAACAAGTTTGAATAAAATAAGCAGATCCCAAATGATATGCTATATACAAGGGCAGGAAGATAATGATTTCACATATCTATTTTTATAATTTAGTCACTTATTCACTTTAAGGTATATCTGACATTCCTCCCCACCTTGGGCCCCTTCCCGACCTCGTCCTCTCTAGTTAAGTGTCCTTCCAATTAGGGACTGTTAGGGTTCATGCTGTACATACATACAGTATAATCAAACAAAATGACGTGTGGTAGCAAAAATAACAAAAGGCACGTGTTGTTTATTACTTACCAAACTTTATTCTATTTATACTAAAAAAGAATAATAATTTGCTTGAGCAATTTAAAAAAAAAAAAAAAACAAAATTTATTCCGAATGAACTCAGGTAACAAATTCATAAATATTATATACCGTTTGTTTGCCACCTCAGTAGTATAAAAAAAGGAATATATCACAACGTGTCTCCTTTTAGGTTGTGAATTAACACGTAAAAATGAATATTATATTAATAAATTTGAACCGGGACTTCAAATAACTTCTTCGGACATTAATTTATAGACTAACCAATTACAAACTAAATAAAAAAGATAGCATATTGCTACTAAATAGAAAAAATTGGTACTAACCCAACCATCAATAAACAAACAGATGAAACACTCGTGACTGAAACTTTGAAACTAATTCATTTAAATAAATAAAATTGATTTTGTTATAGTTTAGTACATAAAGAATGACATAGTAATGACATAAATTTAAAGACAACAAATGAATGACTAACATACCATAGACTAAGGATAGTGACGAAATCCCTTTTGCTGTTTATGACAATTTACATATATGAGATCATAGACTTAGTATAAAACTACGAATAAGGTATAAAGTAATACGTACTAACAGATTAGTAATGCGATCACAAAATCGTAACGAAAATGTGATTACACTTTCCCTTCAAATCGATACATAGCCTACAATTACTTTATAGGAGAAAAACGAATGACACATAAGTACCCAAGCAGACGATTTTTGTACAAAATCTTACTCTGGAAAAAGAAAATATAAAATATGAAAGTATGACACCTCAATCTTTAAGAATCGCAATGTATTCAATTCAAAATCAATAAAACGTATTGATACTGAATACAATTGTAAATTGTGTAACGATAAAATATGCATGCTGCAGCACTGTTTTAGCCTTACATTTAAATTTCACGCAACAACCTTTATTATATTTTCGTTTATGTCACATAAATAGGCGAGGGGACAATGTGGAATTGTCCCCTCGCCTATTTGAATTGAGTTTCGAGTTTCATATACAAATAAGACTGGCAGAAATAATCATAAAAATGGTGACCGATTGCCATGATTGCCATTGAGAAAAATAGAAGACTGACGTCCAGTTAGTCAGTCCGTCAGTGACAACAATTTCGCCAAAATTCGAAATTTATGAATGAAAATACAACAAAGTATGGTCAGGTAATAATAAATGGAATTTAAAATTATTACGAAAACTGAATAACTGAATTGAATTAAAGTTAGGTGCTTGCTTCTAAAATAAGATTGAAGTTATCAAGTTTGTAATTTTAATATATATTAAATGGACTCTAATACAACTATCACTCCGGAAGAATTTACTTATTTTGCCAAACAATTTTGTGAAATATCTAACAGATTATGCGATGGCTGGGTATTTTGTAAGGATAAAGAAATACATAGATGTTATTTAAAGAAAGATACATTCATATCACATGAAGGAGAGAATGAAAATACATTGCTTAGAGCCGAATTTGTTATATTTTATAATCTGAGCTATGGTGTGCCCTCCTTTAGTTTCAATATTTGGAATTCGGCTGGAGTTCTTTTAACATTGGAAGATATTAGAACAATGTCTTTTATTACGTAAGTCAATAAATCTGTCTGAGTCTTCATATCTTCTATTTAGTACCAACTAGAATTTATTTCTATTTAATTTTTATCAGTTGACCGTAGAACAAATAGAGGTATTGAAATTTGCAAAATGAAAATAAATTGTATTAATTTCGCCCTGTCTAAAAATAATATTTCTTTTCGTTCCAGAATTAAGAGAGAAGATTTCTACTCTGTGATAACCCAACAAGAGCATCGCCTGTTCTTGCGTCCATACTTTGTAATGCATCCATGCCACACAGCAACACTCCTGGCCACATTAAAAAATAAATCCAAGAATATAATAGTAACTTTCCTTAGTTTAATAACACCTTTGTTAAGGTTGAAATTACCATTTGAATATGGCTTATGAACTTTGTAATTATGATTTCATTTTAAAAAGTAGGGATTAATGACAGTGGAGTGTTTTCCAAAGCTCCAGTCAAGTTAAATACACTTGTAGGATGCCTAGAAATGAGGCATAAATGGGTTATGATGATAAAATTGGTTATATACTTAAAATGGATTAAACTCAAGTATTGAGTTTTTTTATGTGATATCTTCACTAAGTCTGAACTGTTTTAGCCTATAAATGCCTTCAATATCATGTGTGTTACCAACTTTACTCCTCTTTGAATAACTCTGTCCCATAGTCTTTTGGGAAATAGCAAAGGGGATCACGGACAGAAATTCCTCTGTAACCGGATTATATGTGACCATATAATAATTTTCAATACGGTGTTCAATTCCCCAAGTTGATGTAATTATTATTGCCAGAATAACTAATTTAAAATATTGTATGGAATATTTGATTAAAGATTTATATCAACTATGCTATTATAGAATTAGTTTTTATTCATTTATTCATTCCTATCGACTGTTAACCTTTCATTGTTGGGGGGAAAGGGATTGTTAGTAATGGGGGCTAAAAATCCCATTGTTAGCAATATACATAACCAGGTCGACCTCCACGCGGTTCCCCCTGGAAACTGTCATGATTAATTCTTCATGATGAATTCATCGTGATAGGCTAACTGGCCTGTTTTCGTTCTCATCTATCACCCTTCACTGGTGCTCCACCAGCATATCCCGTTAGGGCAGGTGGGGTTACCATACCATTTTCATCCGACAAAAAAAACCTTTCATTGTTGAATATAGGCCTCCCCCTTAGGAAGTTTTGTTAGTAGATGCCACATTAGGCAGATAAGTTGGCAACTGCAGTTGGGCTTTAGTGACATTTTAAAGAGGGGCTTTGCTGCTACTCCTCAACCATTAAATTCCATTAGACGCCTCTTACAACACAAGAAAGGGACAGAAGAAAGGAAGGGGTGGCCCATTCTATGCCAAGAACACATGGCTTTAGAATTAGTCTTAAAAATATTTAATTTGTTTAAGAAGCTGCCCATGCTTAGAATTATAGTGCATAGGATTATATAATATAAACTACTTAGTATATAGGATGTATATACTGTAGTTTTTATATATAGTAGATAGTAGTAGTATGTATGTATATAATCAAATATTGTAATGGGGGAAAACTGTGATTGTTACAGCCTATGCTGTAAATACTATGTTAACACTACCAGAGGGAGACTTTGTACAAAAGTCTATTGCTTGGGCACCTCTGTCCCATTCGTGTTTTAACCGTGAAGCAGTTGTGTTTGCATGGCTGTGTTTCGGTTTGAAGGGTGGGATATGGCGTAAATTTACAGGGTACAGAGGAATAACACCTGAGTCCTCAGGAATGGCAACGCATGGGGGGTATCATGGGCCAAATAGTATACTCTGTTATGTCCATGGTACTGCTCATGTCTATAGGCGACCGTTACCACTTTCCATCAGGTGGGCCGTCAGCTTGTTTGCCATTCTAAGTTGTATAAAAAAAAAAACAAGGGCGGACCGGCATAAACGTAGTGGGTAGGCCGTGTAAATTATTACAACGGAACGGTCACCATACTACCCTGCAAATTGGATATTAATCGCTCGGTTGAGACACCCTCTGTGTGACACTACACTTGACTACTACAAGACTGTCTTATTGTTACGTTGTAAATCTTATTAATATATCTATTTTAAAGTAAGACTAAAACTGTTTAATATATAAATGACTATTACTGCATCAACCGGAGTATTTATTACTATTGTATCTAACATTTTGGTGACCCCGACGTGATAATATTGTATCTAGCAACTATAAATGATGTAGTGGAGTAACCGAAAAACATTCCGAACTGACGGTAGATTTGACATATTATAAGTCTCTAATATACCTACACGAATAAAGAATGAATGAATGAATGAATGAACGGTTTATTTTCTCTTCACAAAAGGTGGAATAAAGTAACAACATGAGGTACAATTTGAAATGAAGACCAGTTTTGTGAGAGACTGGTGCTTGCGGTAGGTTTAGAAGAACCTGTGTTACAAGTCACCAGTGCCCCATCTCCATGGACTACACAAATACAAGGCAACCAATTAGTGTTATAATACACAGATAACAATAATAAGATATAGAGTGCAAGAATAAACTTAACATTAAAACTTATTTCTAGTATATAACTTAGGCAAAGTTAACAAAAAAACAAAATACAGACTATGTGTGTGCGCGCGCGTGTGTGTGTGTGTGTGTGTGTGCGCGTGTGATAAAGATATTTTGAATATATGTAGTTTGTGTTATTTTGAAAAATACATAATATATAACCAGCATTACACAAATAATATGTTGCTGTTTTTTGCTATTTCATATTATTTCACTTTAAAATATTACTATTTCTTTATAATATCATACATTACATGATTTTAAATGAAAAAAAAAAAAAAAACATGAGAAAAATTTGAAATGTTCCGAAAAGAATTTCCACTGGTTTTCAGTTCAGAATATTGGTCTGAATTCACTGTTTCAGTTTTTGCCACCTTGTCTGTCTTTTAAACCCTGTATTCTTACATATATATCTTAGTTCATCTCATTTCTAAGCTGTCCCATAAATCACTGTCCCATCCGTCCAATCCTCAAGTATTCATTCAATCCTAGAATAGAATACTTTATTTGTTTTGAATAGATAATGACATTTTTTTTTATACAATATATGAACAGCGGGTCTACCATGAAATGAAATTCCGAAATTTCGGACTCAGTTTCGTGTTTTTGTTTATACCAAAATCGGACCAATAAATGGAGTTTAACATTTCGTTCGTCATACATCGTATCCAAAGGAACAATATTTTTACATTTTTAATATTTCCACACGGCATATATTATGTAATTTTAACATCAAATTTCTGTTTCGTTTGGCTTTGAAATTTCGGAAAACATTTCATGGTAGGCCCTCTGTTCTATATTCAGCTAATGTTAAGCATGGTTTAATAAATCCTAAAAATTAATAAATGGCCATTCTGTAATTTATGCTTTTAATGGGTGAAAATGGAATGGTAATCTCACCTGTACTATCAGTATACGCTGGCGGGGCACCAGTGATAGATGAGGATGAAGGCAGGCCAGTTGGTGCATCATGAAGAATTCAACAAGAATTAAACATGATGGTTTCCAGGAGGAACCACGGGAAGGTTGACCTAATAGGGTATATTGCGGGGGGGAAAGGGATTGTTAACAATGGGGTCTAACTGACCCATTGTCAACTACACCCTATCAGGTCGACTTTCATGTGGTTCCCCCTGGTAATCACCGTGTTTCGATCTAGTGGAATTCGTCACGATGGGCTAACTGACCTGCTTTCATCGTCACCTGTCATTTCTCACCAGTGCCCCGCTAGCGTATACCGTTAGCGCAGGCGTTCCATTATCACCTTTCCATTATCACCCATTAAAAATAAAATAGGGTATATTGCTAGCAATGGGACTGTTAGAACCCATTACTAACAATCCCTTTCCCCCGGTTATTCCGTAACAGGTTGAGAATTGGATGCGATCGCTGCCAATCTTATTAAAAAACGTCTGGCTAGACTTTTTTTTATGGATGATAATGGAATGGTAATCCCGCCCGCACTATCGGTATACACTGGCGGGGCACCAGTGAGGGGTGACAGGTGAAGATGAAACAGGCTAGTTAGCCCACCGTGACAAAGTCAAAAACAAATCAGGGGAAACCGCGTGGAGGTCGACCTGACATTAGTGTATTGATAGTAATGGAGACTAACCTCCCCATTACTAACAATCCCTTCCCCCCCGGTGTGGCTGGACTAACTCAGTGGTCTGCTAATGTGATGCTCCAATACAAGATACAGGCCATATTGTGCAAGATTGCCCATTATACAAGTACTAAGGTAATCCAACAGACTTGTTCACCCTGGAGAATTACGCAATCCCTTGTACGAAGAAAATAAAGTCATTGCAAGAGCTACAGATATATCAAAACGATTTAATAATGAATAACTCCTAAAAATGAATCCAATAATGTCTACTGTCAACCAAAAATATTGTAATCTTGCAAATATCCATAGTACGTCACCCGTCGGCTTATATCTGTGTTTTATTGATATGGTATTGATAAGATATTATGTGTATTTTGATAGCAAGCTGACAGTTTCATTGTCGTGTCAGTCAAGTTTACGGGTCGGGCACGGGTTTGCGCCCAGGTGCGGCTGTGTGTGTGATGTGTCTGTGCCCACGGCACGATGAGAGACTGTGGTATACTCATATTTAACTGCACTCGACGCCTCTGCCATTGGATATATTCTGGGATTACGTTTATTATATTTTGCTGCAATGTAAGTTGTTAGCACTTGGATTATAATAGATAACAGTCGTACATCAATGCGGAAATCAACATTGGATATATGTGTTCCAATTCAAATGTATTCGAATTATGAAAACGGCGCTAGAAGCCGGAATACAAATTCTTATGTTTCTAAATTTAAAATAAAAAAAAAAATGTATTTTAAATACACTATCGGGTCTTAACGTCATGAAAAACTTTTTGCAGGTAAATAGTACTTACATACCTGTTTCTTTATTGTCGACGTTTTTTTTTTAATATATTTTGTAAATTTTTTATCGACTTAACTCCCGATAATGTATTTAAAAGATGTGTAAACAACGCGAAAGTTTAAAATTGTCTACAATAAAAATATTCAAACTATTTTTTTAATTTTGAAAATTCTGTCTGCTCTATGCTATGCTAGAGTTATAAGTCTACAATAAAATTAAACTATAAGCCACAAATATGTGGGAACAAATATGAAATAGCAAATTAACATGTAGTTTTACTAAACCGTACCGTAACAATGTGGAATGGCATTTCCTGTGACGTGTTCCTTCGTCATAATCTTGGAACCTTCAAATGTAGCGTGAAAAAACAGTGAGTCGACATATTGCGACCAGCCGTTTGAAAGTAAATAATTTTCTTTTCGATTGATCGTATTCAGAGACCATGACGTCTCTGTGTTCATTTAGGATGGAGTGGTCACATGTCGTGCTATAAAATATGATAAATATTGTTTTAATTGTTTTTGATGGGTGAAAATGGTATGGTAACCCCACTTGCGCTAACGGGATACGCTGGCGGAGCACCAGTGAAGGGTGATAGATGAGAATGAAAACAGGCCAGTTAGCCCATCATGATGAATTCATCAGGAATTAACCATGATAGTTTCCAGGGGGAACCGCGAGGAGGTCGACCTGGTTGGGTATATTGCTAGCAATGGGATTCTCAATCTCCATTACTAATAATCCCTTTCCCCCCTGTTTTAATTGTTATACCACTGAGGTGGTGAACAAGCACACTATCCATGATTGTAAGTGGTTGCCCTAGTTTCTCATCATCTTCATATCAGTCTTTAACTGTCCACTGTTGAACATAGGCCTCCCCTTTTGGGGTTTTGTCAGTAGTTGGCACGCTTGGCAGGCGGATTGGCAACCGCAGTTAGGCTTTGGAGATGTTTTAAGAGGGACGCTGCTGCCCATCCCACACCCTCCCTTAGTCGCCTCTTACGACACTCACAGGAAAGGAACGGGTGGCCTATTCTATGCTGGGACCACACGGCGTTACTATATATAAGTACGGTATGCTGGATTTATGGAAATGCTACAAAGATGTTACAAGCGCGTTGTCGATCTTGAAGAAATCTCTTTATTCCTTATAAATAAGCCCGTGCTGTATTTATTTAATGAAATAATTTTAGTATCGAAATGAAAATATGATATAAAAGGTGGACGTAATGCTAGTAGCATTCTTTATCAACAATAATTCAACCTTTGGGATGAAAAGTGAATCACGAACGCACAATTTATTACAAAAGATCAGCCTTTCCCAATGTGGGCGATAACGCCCCCTTGTGGGTGCTGAAGGCCTAAAGGGAGGCGGTAAGAGACCCAGAAAAAAATGGGGGCGTTGTGTAGAGGCTTGGAGGGGGGTGATTTGTTGATCTGGAAGTAATAGTGGTTTTTAAGTAGGCGAAACAATGGGGGCGCAAAAAATAATTTATTCTCAAAGTGAGCGGTAGGCAAAATAAATTTGGGAACCTCTGCAATAGACTTAAAAAAATCCCGGGTAAGAGTTCATTTCCTAACTCAATCGTTTGCGGAAGGGAACATATCTGAAAAACTAATAGAGGTGGGATTGCTCGATTTCTACGTTTTATATACACGAGTTTGAAGAATAATTAAAAAATCGTATGTTTTATATTTCTTATATCTTTTGTAGATATAAGAAGTAAGTATTGTAGTTTCAGGAAAAATTATTTCAAAATATTAGCTAGTCCAATATGAGTCATTGCTTAAAATAAAATACAAACGAAATATTGTAATCAGATAATTGTAATGAGATATGCATTTCCACAAAATAATATGTAATTCACTAAAATAAATACATTAATTAAGATTGTATTTGACATAAAAAAAACTGATTTCATTTCTGGCAAAACCAGTTGTTTTAATTTAAAAACTAAACTACTTAAGTGATTTTATGGTAAAATTTTTTAGACATATCTACAAAATACGGGATCAATTAAAAAGTATATGCTTTGTGATAAAAAAAAGGATTTTTCAAATCGGTTTACAACCGACGGGATTATGAGGGATTATAAACATAAAAGACTTTGTACAAAAATCGTTTGCTTGGGCACCACTGTCCTATTTATATTTATACTGTGAAGCAGTTGTGTTTGCACGGCTGTGTTTCGGTTTGAAAGGTGGGATATGGCAGTGAGTTTACGGGGTACAGAGGAATAACACCTGAGTCCTCAGGAATGGCAATGCATGGAGGGTATCGTGAGCGAAATAGTATACTCTGTTATGTCCATGGTAATGCTCATGTCTATAGGCGACGGTTACCACTTTCCATCAGGTGGACCGTCAGCTTGTTTAAAAGTTGTATAAAAAAATACATTCGAATTGAGATCCTCTTTTTTGAAGTCAATTAATTAACAAATCGTTACATTCATTACTAAAAATTATAAAAATGATAAGTATTTATTTAATAGTAGTTAACAAACAACCGGTATGCCATGATTGTACCAATTTCCTAGCTAAAGTAAATTCAGAAAAGTTTGTTTCCCAGTTGGCTTGACAGAGAAACGAACCCGGGACCTCATTACGAATGCCACCTCGATAAGGGCAAGGAGATCGTTGTCTAAGATCTCCGAATGTGCTAATGGTTCACTCTTGTCATCCATAATGCGCACAGTAGATATACATGCGTGATGATCTTGAGATTTCGTCATCGAACGACCACTGAGATTACGATGATACGAACTGGTAGCAATTAGGAGCGTGATAAAGAGTTTTTATCATAAAATCGAAATCCATTTACATTTATAAATATAAATTATAAAGTTGACAAAATAAAAATTCTAAAAATTTCTAACTTTTTCCAGTAAAATCAGAAATAGTTTGTTATTAGATATATATAAACCTGCCAACCTTTTAAAATATTGTTAACTTGTAATAAACATACATCCCTCTTACTAATGGGGGAAAGGGATTGTTAGTAATGCGGACTACCGGCCTCATTTCATACTTTAGCCACAGATAATATAATACTATACTAGCTTTAGCTAACCGAAATATGCAATTTTCAACAATTTTCAATGTTCCTAATTGACTAAGTATGTGGATCTGTTACTGAACTATTATATTAATCATAAAATATAAAACTATCGCTAGAAATTTTACAGCTACATCATATTTTAATTCGAATTTATTCAATTTTTTTGCACGATTAATTAATTATTTCGCTAATTGAGCATATTTTTAATAATAATCGTAATAGAAATTGTTAGCTACGCTGGTAGGAGGGAATAGGAGCGGCAATAAATAAATATTATTAGAAAGACTTACCAGTATAATTTTCTTAATAAGACGTGTACAAGATATCAATAAGTTAAAAAACAAAAGAGCTATAAAAAGCATATTCAAGATAGAAAAATATAAATTCTAAAAAGGTAAACTTTTATACCTAAAAGGTCTGTCGCGATCAGAAACATTGAAAATTGTTAAATTGTGTTTGAAAATTGCCAGATTTGGGTAATTTAAAATATGAACGCTCTTAAAGTTAAAACAACTAAAAAAAAAAAATTAAAATTATCTATAATCTTTTTAAGTTAGTATTTAGTAGGAAACTGTTTATTTTATATCGTTTTAGCTAATCGTTATCTTATCGTCGCGTTATTGTTAAGGATCGATGACCTCAATAAGTTATTCTAGTTTATTTCATTCAGCACATATCTATGTGTTTTTGTATACTTACAATTGATAGTCGCAGTAAAATATAGTACTCAGTAGGTAAGTTCTTTCATACCTATCTAATATTACGATAAAAAAATGTAGATAGAGGGAGATTTTGTACAAAAGTCGATTGCTTGGGCACCTCTGTCCCATTCGTGTTTCAACCGTGAAGCAGTTGTGTTCACATGGCTGTGTTTCGGTTTGAAGGGTGGGATATTATTAAGCATGAATTTACTGGGTATAGAGAAATAACACCTGAGTCCTCAATAATGGCAACGCATGGGGAGTATCATGGGCGAAACAGTATACTCTGTTATGTCCATGGTACTGCTCATGTCTATAGGCGACGGTTACCACTTTCCATCAGGTGGGCCGTCAGCTTGTTTGCCATTCTAAGTTGTATAAAAAAATAATCCATTTTCACCAAGTTTAGGACGAGGCAGGCAAAGGGAATCGCCTTCATGACCTTTATCATCACATACATAGGTAATAATCTTGTGACATATGGTGACATAGAAAGTTTTGCCTTCACTTCACCAGATGCATGTCTTCACACGGCGTGGACAACTGTTTATATTATATTTTTATTGTCATTAGTGTCCGCCCTGGCCATTGGTTTGAACGACTGTGTTAATTTAATCTGCATAATTTTTCTTCTCACGTGACATGTAAATATAAGCCATAAAAGATGCAGATGAGGGTAATGTAATTTCGTTCTTTATTCAAATTTTAAACAAAAAAGATTTCCATAGATATTTTATTTTTTAACTTTGATCAAAAGCCAAAAAAGTATAATTCCATAGATAAGAGCGTTATGTTCATTCATTCATAGTCGATGGTGTCCCATTTTCAGGCAAGGCCTTCCAACTGTCACCACATTCCACGATCGTTGGGCAAGGTGTACTAATTTTTGTTTTTTTTTAAACATTATGTTACTTATCAAGTTACTCACTTGATTACTTAATACTTAATACATAAATGCGAAAGTAAATTTGTTAATTGATTGGTTTGTTTGTTATTTCTTAGTGATTTAATGACTTAAATAATCTCAATGAATTAAGTAATAAAATAACGATACACATCAATTGATCGTAGAAAATTTTAATTAGAAAAATAAATAACGATTCCTTGAATGCAGAAGATAAAAACATTGATATATTTACAATAATCACCAAAATTACTGATGCCATGATACCACATATTTTTTATTTTTATTTTACCACACGATATAAAATATATAATAATTAGATATCTTACTTTTATCTTACTTATATATCTGTAAATGGAAGATATTTACCAATTATTAATATTAACGTTTTTAATAACTAATTTAATTAATAAACGTTTTTAAAAACTATTACTTACACCAAAATGCGATTTTCACATTTGTATTTCTGGTTTCACTTAAAATTAGGCGTATGTTTTATATATATATATATATATATATATATATATATATATATATATATATATATATATATATATATATATATATATATACTACCTTATGTACAAATGTACTCTCTACATAAACCCTCAAGCAGAACCCAAAAAAAAATTGCAACATTAGGGTTAACAATAATCAAAACTATTCTACATATAAAAACAATAACGTTTGTAGTTCTTGTGTTATAGCTCTGTGACAGACAGACGCACGGACGGACGACGTTGGCCTATAAGGGTTCCTTTCTACCATTTTGGCAAGGAATCCTAAAAAGATGGCTGTTTTTCTCGAAGCATTTATAGGGAGATTCTATGTAGTGTAATTTTTTTTTCATGACATTAATGACAACGGACGTTGGCCTTGTCCTACAGTGTCTACTTAATTACTATCGATTTCCACGCAAAAAGAACGAGCTATTCCAATGGCTTTGCAAAATTTCTCACGGTTGTCCTGTGAACTTACTTATATATTACTTACCCGTATATACAGTATTTATTTAACAAAGCAGGTAGCTCATTTGATATTATTATTATTGTTTATTTTAAATATTTCTACCTATAAAGATAAATAAATATAGCCTATTTAAAATATATTTAAAAACCCCAGCACATACCTCCGTGTACTACACCAAATCCTTTTTGGTTCAGGCAGTGCGCCTATGGAACACGCTGCCACCGTCTATACGGAGTGCTCAATCTTTGGCTTCGTTTAAACGACAAGTCAAATCACATTTTCTTTCACTGTAGTTACTCTTTTCCATACCTTTGTAATTTTTAGACTAGATTTGTCATATTTATAAATTTTGTGCAATAAAGAGTTAAATAAATAAATAAATATATAAACAACTTCTCGTGATTTAAATTTTAACCTTTAAACTAGAACATTACATATACAGAATATAAAAAAAGGAGAATAATATGCTTACTTTCTTACTAATTTTATAAACGTGAGAGTTTTTTTTTATTGTTAAGGAGGCAAAAGAGCAAACGCTCCACCTGATAGAAAGCGGCGACCGTCACCCATGAACACCTGCAACACGAGAGGAGTTGCTTGTGCGTTGCCGGCCTTGTTACCTTATTTATTTATTTCTGATTACTAACATAAGATACAGCGAAATTTTTCGATACATTACCCTAGTGGATTATAGCTAACTGTTCTTACATTTAGAGCCAATCACAGCATGCTTTGTGTTTAAAAAATATTAAAATAGAATTATTATTATTATATATATATTATTATATATTATATATTTATATTATTATATTATTTAGACTATGTACAAAAGTCGATTGCTTGAGCATCTCTGTCCCATTCATGTTTCAACCGTGAAGTAGTTGTGTTTGCATGGCTGTGTTTCAGTTTGAAGGTTGGGATATGGCGTGAATTTACAGGGTACAGAGGAATAACACCTGAGTCCTCAGGAATGGCAACGCATGGGGGTATCATGGGCGAAAGAGTATACTCTGTTATGTTTATGGTACTGCTCATGTCTATAGGCGACGGTTACCACTTTCCATCAGGTGGGCCGTCAGCTTGTTTGCCATTCTAAGTTGTATAAAAAAAAAGTTAAATGGCATATTATTTTTAATATATTATGCCATTTAATATATTTTAATATAATACTTTAATGGCTTAACCTATCATTATGAAATTTGATATGCACGTATTATATATATGCGATATAGAAGGATATAGGCAACTTTTTATACCGAGAACTTGTCCCAGTCATCATCTACATAAAAATAAATTGCTATCATAAACTATCAAACTATGTGTTAGAGTCGATGATTTGAAAGTGTTTATATAAAAATATTGTATATACACTGCAATGTGACACTTAATATATCTATATTTTATGTCCGTTTTAGTACAATCGTAGGTGACATGAAAAAGAAAATTTTCACTCTGTAAAAAAAAGCGTCTTCAATCACAACGATAAATTATAGATATTTTGTAGACAGATACCATGGATATAATATAATGCGTATATTTTTTATATATTCTTTATTGCACTTAAACAATATATGCGACGATTAGTTTAACAACTTGTTAGCAAGGGAGGACTTATCTCTGAAAGAGATCTCTTGCAGCCAACCCAGTGTAGTTAAAGAGAAAATAATTTAATTTGGGTAATTCAGTGAAGAAAAGGTACAAGTGAAAATAATGTAAATACATCAAACACTGTTGTGAATAAATAATAACAGTAATTTAGTATGACAAACAAGCACCAACCACTAACACGAGCGGGTGCAACGTAAGACGCGAGCCCATAAAGTAAAAGTAATAGGCGAGAAATATAACTCGCCTATAATTGGGCATTTCATTCAGATGCTGATCTAGTCGGCTGGGTCACATCTGGGTGAATTGCTTAATTAAATCAATTTGTTTTTCTTTTTTTTTTTTTTTACTAACATAGTTTGTAAGAAAATTGTTACTAACAAAATTGGACCGCATTGTAGTCTGGATAATAAAGTATTATTATTATTATAAAGTAAGTAAGTAAGAGAAATACGTATGAGATTTGGAAGTTGGAACATAGGTTCTATGACTGGAAGAGGAAGAGAGCCATCGGATGTTTTCAAAAAGCGAAGAATAAAAATAGCATGTTTACAGGAGACTTAATGGAAAAGAGCGAAAGCTAGAGATATTGGGGAGGGATATAAGTTATAGATATAGTGGGAGTGATGGAAAACGCAACAGTGTTGGAATGGTGTTAGATGATCAGCTGAAAAAGTGTGTGATGGATGTAAAAAGGGTTAGCGATAGGATAATATGTGTGAAAGTAATTGAAAGGTCGATGGACCGCTTTTTAGGTCGAAGGGTCCGAATTCGTCGTCAAATGTATTAAAAATTAAAAGGCAAATTAGTCATCGAAATTATGTCCGTCTTCTTATCGGTCTTTTGTCTAAGTCCTTTTGTTTTGTCCCAAGCTGTCAGTTTTAATTGTAGAATGTCTTAGCGGCCAGCGATAAAACCGGTCAAAGAGGCCGCAATAGTAATATTTGAAAATATGATCTTGAAAGAATGGAAGAGAAAAACATATTACGCCGACCCCAAATAATAATTGGGATAAGGGTAGGAAGATGATGATGATGATGATGAGAATGACAAACAAGCTGATGATTCACCTGATGGAAATTGGAATACAAGAATATGTAGCGAAATTTAGGTCGTAGAATAAAAATTTTACAAGTAGATATTACATCGAAATAAGCAGATTTTTAGTAAAGAGGTAACTCCGACGTTACCACATTATAGTATGTTCCGGTATACCATATTAACCATTAGCTGTTCACTTCTTAATATATATATATATATATATATATATATATATATATATATATATATATATATATTCTTTATTGCACTTGTAAGTTACATATAAAATAGTCTATTTATAAATGTTGTGAGCAAGGGTGGACTTATCTCTGACAGAGATCTCTTCCAGTCAACCCAGTACAGTAAGAAAGCATTTCGTTAGCGGGCAGCTGAAGTGCTACAACTATTAATACATAAACAAATATGCATATTATCTCCCTTAGAGGTATAGTCAGTACTTGCCACGCTTGGCAGACGGGTTGGCAACTGCAGTTAAGCTCTGGTGGTGTTTTAAGAGGGACACTGCTACGCAGCCTTCAACTGTGAAATTCCCTTAACAATTTTTTACGACATCCACGCGATAGGTAGGGGGACCATTCTATGCCGGAACCACGCGGTATGAATCCTCTTAATTCCAAGGTAAAAATAACCACTCTTTATTGTCCGTAGGGGAACAAGGTATCCGACAGCTCGGAGACCCGTCACATCACGGTGGGCGAGGTGGACTTGGCGGACAGGAGGAAGCATAACAAGATCAAGACCTCCAAGTACACCCTCCTCACGTTCATACCCAAGAACCTGTCCGAGCAGTTCCGCAGAGTGGTCAACTTTTATTTCTTGATTGTCACAGTCATTGCAATAGTTATCGGTACGATATATGTGTGAATCAATAAAGTACTAACTGTTACCCGCTGCTTTGCCCGCGTGAGTCAGTATATATATACATTACATGTTAGTTTAAAACCTACATATGCACCTAATTTTATTCAAGTCAGTTCAGCTATTTATATGTTTAATTTTTTATTTTGTATTTCAGCCGTTACACTGTCCACTGTTGGACATAAGCCTTTCCCATAAGGGAAGTTTTGTCAGTAGTTGCCACGCTTGGCAGGCGGAGTGGCAACCGCAGTTAGGCTTTTAGAGATATTTTATAAGGGACGCTACTGTCCATCCCTCGCCCTCCCTTAGTCGCCTCTTACAACATCCACGGGAAAGGAAGGGACGGCCTATTCTATGCTGGGACCACACATTGCCTTATTACTTAAATGACATTTATTTAAATGTAATTGAGTAATAAACAAACGTCTTTACAAACTCAGATTTAAATATATACAATAATAAGTTATTTACTTATTTTAACTGAATATACAAATATATAAGTATACATATGGCGGATTTAAGAACTAGCGGTTTTTTATCAGTCAACCATAGAGTAAATAGAGAAATAAGTAGGCAATGCATTTACTATTGAAATTCTAAAATAACTGCAAATTAATTTGGACTATCGAAAATAAATATAACTGCTACTTAAATAGTATATAACGGTTATAAAGAAATAAAAATAAAACAGTACTTTTGTGCTATTAAAATACCGTAAATAGTTAATTTCAGTATAATTACAGTATTGTGACTTTGAACAAGTTACAATTCTTAATATCGATCTGAATCAACAGTTGCGAAGGATTATGGTAGCCATACTGTTGTGTCGTATGGTTGTGCATTTTTGAGAATATCTCTTCTATTTATTTATTTAATGACAACCAACAAAGCAATGATTTATATCTAATTAAAATGCATGATAATATGGTTATAATGTTTAAACTGTGGTAAACGGTGTTGGTGGCTTTACTCAATGTTTTCTTTGATTAATATTATGTATTATTCTTTATTTTGTCACTGTTAGTTTTCCTAAATAAATGAAAGAAAAAAAAGAAAGAAAATGCAATATATCTCGATTACACAGAGTTTTAAGTATTAATGCATTGTAATCATAAGTGAAGAGACCAGAGGGAGACTACAAAAGTCAAATGGAAGGTAGATAGATAGATATCTTCCATTTGTGAATCTACCGTGAAGGAGTTTGCTTGTTTGTAGTGCTTGCATGCTGGGTTTGAAGAGTTGGATGTTGTAGTGAAATTACAGGGTCTGGAGGTATAATAACTTAGTCCCCACTAAATGACAACGCATGGGGTATCCTAGGTGATACAGCCTTAGGAACTATGTGGTATTATATATATATTATAGGTTTATAGATGAAGGGTATCATTTTTAATCAGGTTGCTCGTTAACATGTTTGTTATTCCATAGACTATAAATTACTTTTTTTACAATTACATACGTATGCAAATTTTTTTTTTATATTGTGATTCGAAGACACAACACACTTTTAACTAATACAATTATTTACGAATAAAATTATTATTTGTTACTATTTGTCTTGGTTCTAAATAAATTCTTTAATTCCATATTCCATAACGAACCACGGTATAATTTTGCTGTACTTAATGCCACAGACAGCCCCGTGTCGCCGATGACAAGCGTCGCGCCGCTCACTTTCATGGTGTTCGTGACAGCTGTGAAGCAAGGCTACGAGGATTGGCTCCGGCACAAGGCAGACAATAAGGTCAACAACCAAAACGGTCAGTTCTCTTTTATTTAGTCAACACTAAAATTTGACTAACACATTTACATTATGAAAATCCACTATGAACCGTTTCACGCATAAGTCTTTAATTTTGATATTTCGCAATATTTATTTCTGTATATAGTGTATATTATTTTTTTTTATACAACTTAGAATGGCAAACAAGCTGACGGCCCACCTGATGGAAAGTGGTAACCGTCGCCTATAGACATGAGCAGTACCATGGACATAACAGAGTATACTGTTTCGCCCATGATACCCCCATGCGTTGCCATTCCTGAGGACTCAGGTGTTATTCCTCTGTACCCTGGAAATTCACGCCATATCCCACCCTTCAAACCGAAATACAGCCATGCAAACACAACTGCTTCACGGTCGAAACACGAATGGGACAGAGGTACCCAAGCAATCGATTTTTGTACAAAGTCTCCTTCTCTATTTCCCTATGTAAGACAGTGTTCTTTAACTATATTCTATTAGTAAAAAAAACTTCGTCTTCAACAGTGGAAATAATCCACAATGGCGTTGTGAAGGAGGTCCGTAACTCGTCCATCGCTCCCGGCACGCTGGTTAGAGTGAAAAGAGGATGCGAGGTTCCAGCCGACCTGGTACTGCTGTGTTCAGCGGGTTCAAAGGGGAAATGCTATGTGACAACTGCCAATTTGGATGGAGAAACCAATTTGAAAACTTTAAGGGTACCGCCGCCGCTGGTTGGCTGCAGCTCAGGTATTTTGGTATTACGAATTTAATTTGGGGTATTAAACAATGTGAGATAAACATCCCTAATGATGTTTTTTAATAGAAAATTGTTAAATAAAACAATGTACTCTTTCATGTCACATCACGCATGTAGTTACAGTCTTATCTAAGTTTATATCAGTCTTATGAATCCTACAAATTTTGGACCATCTCTCGCTAACAGAATGCGTGTTGGATCTGAAATATTCAGTTGCTAGCGAACCTTTTTTATTATGCATCTTAGAATGACTAATAAGCTGACAGCCTGCCTGATGGAAAGTGGTAACTGTCACCTATAGATATGAACAGTACCATGGATAACACTGTATACTGTATCACCCATTATACCCTTCAGGAGTTGCCATTCCTGAATACTAAAGTGTTATATCTGTATATTTTGTATTTTTATTGCTATACACAACTGCTTTTTGGCACGAATGGGACATAACTCAGATTTAGACCATGGTTCGGTTATTAAGATGTATTTTTTACATTATTATAGATTATCAAAGTTCAGTTGTTCTTTATTTTGTTTTTTTTTAGACCTTTTGCCTCCAGGGATGAACATAACGGTGCCAAACCCTGAAGCCAATTTATACCGTTTTCACGGATCTCTAACAGTCCCTGGACACGAACCCTTGACCCTTTCTACTGACAACCTAATGCTGAGGGGGTCCAGAGTGAAAAATACGGAATGGGCCATCGGTTGCGCTGTATATACAGGTAAATAGGAAAAGGGGAGTAATTCCCTATGAAACAGAGATATATTTATTGATCGAGATAAAAAGTGATCTTTTCCTTTTTCAAAATAAAAAGTAAAAAGTAAATATTATGTGTATACTTATCAAAAATAAAAGAGTATGGATAGGTAAAGTTGAAACTGCTGTAGTGTTATGGGAATCATAATATTGTGAACAACATTTTACCTTTCAGGGGAGGAAACGAAATTGGCGTTGAATTCAAAATTCACAAGTAACAAATTCTCATCATGCGAGTTGGCAGTCAACGCCTTCCTCGCATTCTTTATACTGCTGCTTCTTGTAGAGGTCGCGGCATCCATGGCCGCCAAGATAATTATACAAAGGAAAAACCCCGGACACATCCTGTACTTGGGCGTGTATACAGATTATTCTAAAGTGAAACACGTCCTGCAAGATTTGTTTTCGTTTCTGTTGCTGTACTATTACATTATACCGATGTCGCTGTATGTTACTATCGAACTTTATAAGTTTATTGGTAAGTAACTTCTATTATTCTAACACTAGGAGTGTTAAACGAGAATTTTTTATGCCAATTGATCGTCTAATACGTTGAAATCACCAACCTAACCTAACCTAACCTAATAGGGGGGAAAGTTTAATTGTTAGTAATGGAGACTGAAAATCCCATTTCTAGCAATATACCCAACCAGGTCGACCTTCTCGCGGTTCTCCCTGGAAACTATCATGTTTAATTCCTGATGAATTCATCATGATGGGCTAACTGGCCTGTTTTCATTCTCACCTATCACCCTTCACTGGTGCTCCGCCAGCGTATCCCGTTAGCGCAGGCGGGGTTATTATACCATTTTCAGCCATAAAAAAAAATACGTTGAAATGACAAATGTAGTATATCATACTACGGTGGAAATAGCAAATCAAAGCGAAAATGTAGTGGAAGTGAAATGCCAACGAATTTTAAGAAAATATATAAATAATTAATTCTTTCTCTCTTTTTGAAAGATATTATCTGGGGGGGAATCAAGTGGCTAGAATCAACGCTTGCTTGCATGAGTTATGAAAGTTTATGAAGTAAAAGACATATGTACCTATAAGTAAAAATGAAAATTGCAATATATTATACACAAAGTTATAAGAGAACTATTAAAATAATCATCGTTTCGGTTGTTAACTGTCCACTGCTGAACATAAGCGTTCTCCATAAGGGGAGTTTTGTCAGTAGTTGCCACACTTGGCAGGCGGGTTGGCAATCACAGTGAATTTACTGGGTACAGAGGAGTAATACCTGAGTCCTCAGGAATGGCAACGCATGGGGGGTGTCATAAGCGAAACAGTATACTCTGTTATGTCCATGATACTGCTCATGTCTATAGATATCGGTTACCATTTTCCATCAGGTGGGCCGTCAGCTTGTTTGCCATTCTAAGATGTATAAAAAAAAAAGTTAGGCTTTTAGAGATGTTTTAAAAGGGACGCTGCTGCCCATCCCTCACCCTCCTTAGTCGGCTCTTACGACACCCACAGTAAAGGAAAAGAAAAGGCCCATTCTATGCCGGGACACACACAGCAAATTAAATATAATGTATTTTAATAATACGTAATTAAACCATTAAAAATATACTAATATTTGAGAGAAAATAGACTTATCACTATTTTTGGCTGTGTTTTCTAAATGAATATAAATATTTTTCAATGGTCAGGTGCTCTTTATTTCGGTTGGGATAAAGACCTTCAATGCGAAGAGACTGGCAAACCGGCCGTAGCCAATACATCCGACCTGAACGAAGAGTTGGGCCAAGTGGAGGTGTTGTTCTCTGACAAAACTGGCACTCTAACCAAAAACCAGATGGTTTTTAAAGCCTGCTCCATCAGGGGACACGTTTACGAAGAGAGGGACTCGGTGTTGTACGACATGGAGAGGTCAGAAGAAGCGAATGTTACACAGGTCAGTTACGTCGTTCAAATTTGTTTTTTACATTATCTAATATATAAAATTCTCGTGTCACGGTATTTGTTACCAAACTCCTCCGAAACGGCTTTACCGATTTTCATGAAATTTTGTGTGCATATTGGGTAGGTCTGAGAATCGGCCAACATCTATTTTTCATACCCCTCAATGATAAGGGTGACCCTTCCCAAAAAATTTTTTTTTTATTTTTTGATAAGATTTTGATAAGTAACGTACTAATTGTTGAGTAATAGTTAAGTTTTTTTTTATGCAACTTAGAATGGCAAACAAGCTGACGGCCCACTTGATGGAAAGTGGTAATGGTCGCCTATAGACATGAGCAGTACCATGGACATAATAGAGTATACTGTTTCGCCCTTAATACCTATTCCTTTGCTATTCCTGAGTCTGTAAATTCACTGCCATATCTCACCCTTCAAACGGAAACACAGCCATACAAACACAACTGCTTCACGGTAGAAACACGAATGGGGCAGAGGTACCCAAGCAATCGACTTTTGTACAAAGTCTCCCTCTGGTTAATAGTTTAGTATGCAATTGAATATGTTTACCAAGTTAATGTACTAAGTGCAGTAAGCAGCATTCGTTAGCAATTTAGTATTGATTAAAAACTTTGTGGAAACCATTTCGCTTAATTTATTTACTTATCATCTTATATTCGCATATGGGGTCAACTAAGCCGTTGCATGTCGATCCATCGGGATCTTTTGTGCTCCCCCCTGCCTTATACCATCATTTCATAGATCCTATGTGTTACCCTAACCTACCCGCGGTTTAAGATACCTGTAGTCCCCTGGCTCTGGATAAGCCGTTCCCAATAGACTCATACGCATGCTCGCCAACGAATCACAGTTGCACATCAAGTGTTCCATGGATTCCGATTTCTCCCCGCACAATCTACACAGTGTGTCCGAAGACACTACCTATTTTGTATAGTATATGCCTTACTGGCATATGTTCAATTATGGGTGCCCACCCATAATGAGCCTGGCCTGTTGTCTGCTACCGCTGTAGATGAGTTTATCCCATCCCTCAGCATTATCGTTTAAGAGCTTTTTAGTACGCAAAGACCCTTCAAAGTCCTCCATTTCTTTTGCTGTTTTTTTTCCTCACTCATCATCATCTTCCTACCCTTATCCCAATTATTATTTGGGATCGGCGTAATATGGTTTTATCCATATTACTAAAGGATTTGGCTTATAGTTTTACAACCGGCCGCCTGCCTGACGTCAACCATCTTTGGGAACCTCTTTTTTTCTGACTATTAACTTAATTATTATCTTTTGGTGCGATATAAGTGAATGGGCAAACAGCACATCGTAGCTAGACCTTCTCCGGTCATCAATGTATCCTTATCGCCTTATCAACCCCGTAACTTTACATTCATGTTTCTAATAACCTAATGTATTTTATTTATCTTATGACATCATGTCAACTGCCGTACAATCATTACAATATGTTATGAAATAAAAGGAGGGACTTTACCTTCGCGTGTCTTATCAATACAAATATATATTTCTATCTATGTATCTACTACAGACGATATTAACGTCCGATTGTTTTGAGTTTAATCCCCGCACAATTAGGGGGAAAAAGGATTGTTAGTAATGGAGACTGAGAATCCCATTGCTAGCAATATACCCAACCAGGTCGACCTCCTCGCGGTTCCTCCTGGAAACTATCATGTTAAATTCCTGATGAATTCATCATGATGGGCTAACTGGCCTGTTTTCATTCTCATTTATTACCCTTCACTAGTGCTCCGCCAGCCAGCGTATCCCGTTAGTGCAGGCGGGGTTACCGTACCATTTTCACCCATAAAAAAAAAAGAAACCCGCACAATATAAACATAACTATATTTATAAGTATTTTTATTTGTACTGTTCTGGATGTTTTTATATGTGTATTTAAATACTAAATTTCTGAGTATATCAATTTGTTGTCTAAAATTCGGCCTCTGTAAATACAAATACATGGTTCAGTACAAATAATCTTTTGCAAGTGATTTTTATAAACTATATTAATTTGCCTGTTTATCTATAAATTTTAAGCATGCTCTAATTATTACAATTAATTGGATTTCTCTTAATATTTTATATTCTGTGTGAAAAGAGTTCTTTGTGCGCTGTGAAGTACGCATCCATGCAATGCGAACGTCAGTGGTAATTACCAGAGGGAGACTTTGTACAAAAGTCGATTGCTTGGGTACCTCTGTCCCATTCGTGTTTCAACCGTGAAGCAGTTGTGTTTGCATGGCTGTGTGTTGGTTTGAAGGGTGGGATATGGCGTGAATTGAAACACCCGAGTCCTCAGGAATGGCAACGCATGGGGGGTATCATGGACGAAACAGTATACTCTGTTATGTCCATGGTACTGCTCATGTCTATAGGCGACGGTTACCACTTTCCATCAGGTGGGCCGTCAGCTTGTTTGCCATTCTAAGTTGTATAAAAAAAAAACCATATTTCTCGGTTTACAATTTCTTACTTATCTATTGACTACAATTTATGATATAAAAATATTGATGAATCTCGTTTATCAATCTTTTGTGACAGATAACTGCTCCAAATATAGTTCACTACCTACTTCTTGTTAAAAAGATTGTTTTAGGGAAAAACCGAATCGAACGGTTAACTTCTATATATCATATAATCTTGACGTACACATGAATTAGTAATAAAAAATCTGGTTTCAATTGTCATACGATGGACTTATTGTCAGATATTGGACGCAACTGTAACCTAACATGTATCACATCTCCATATTTAGAATTAACAAAATTTTCATCGTGCCTCCCACCAAATTGTTTATAATTACTCCTCTCCATCCAAAGGTTGCCTAGAAGAGATCGCTCTTAGCGATAAGGTCGCCCATTGTTTTCTCATTGTGATTATTTCTTGTAATTGTTTATATTTATAATAAGTTTACTATTGTAATGTTTTGGAGGAAACAATAAAGAGTATCTATCTATCTATCTAATAGATACTTTATTAACTGGATGTCCAACTTGGATGAATTTTAAAACGGCAACAACTACGAGTACAATCGATGTAGTTATATCAGACACTCATGAGTTTGTTAGTAATGATAATGATTACATTTTTATCAATTTTTTTTATACAACTTAGAATGGCAAACAAGCTGACGACCCACCTGATGGAATTTAAGTGGTAACCGTCGCCTATAGACATGAACAGTACCATGGACATAACAGAGTATACTGTTTTGCCCATGATACCTCGCATTCGTTACCATTCCTGAGTACTTAGGTGATATTCCTCTGTACCCTATAAATTCACTTCCATATCCCATCCTTCAAACCGAAATACAGCCATTCAAACACAACTGCTTCACAGTAGAAACACGAATAGGACAGAGGGGCCCAAGCGAATGAATTTTGTACAAACTCTCCATCTGGTATCTAAGAACACTAACATTGAAATTAAGAAGCAATAACCCTAATTTTAGTGCAAATACTGCTTAATTCACAATTTCAGACAGACGTCAAATTCTTCTTCACGATTCTCGCTCTTTGTCACGGCGTACAAATATCAAATGAGGATTTGATACAATTGAACGATCCATTAGCGAACAAGAATCAACTGAAGATAAAGTTTTTTGGAAAGAAAAAGACTAATAAAAGTTCATCTCAACTGCAAGGTAATACTGAGGAGGCAAATAATGTTGAAAATGGCTTGCAAAATGAAAACAATAAAATAGAATATCAAGGTAGCAGTCCAGATGAAAAAGCTTTGGTTGAGGCAGCGTACAGGTTTGGAGTGGCCTTCTGGGGCGAACAGGGAAATGACTTATTGGTAAAAATTGGTACCGAGATAGAGATGTACGAGAAATTGCAAGTAATCGAATTCACTTCTGAACGCAGAAGGATGTCCGTTATAGTCAGAGATAAAGACGGGAAGGTGAGTGTCAGAATACTAGATAAACATATTACACTTGTTGTATTTATCTTTGATAGCTGCTCGGTAGGCATTACGATTGGTTATTCATAATACAGTAAGGTCAAGAGCCTCAACTGAATGTGCTTCTATCTATAAGTATAATAATAATTAGTGGCTGCGTCTATATCTGCAATATACTCTTAATATGCTTTTAATGTTTATCGTAAAATATTTCGATCAACAAGTAATATTTGATTCAACTATTTGGAAAAGATGTTTCTTGAACGACTTTTATGTTCCATGAAAGAACTTAAAAACTAGCATTATGTAATTTTTAATCCCTTTTGACAATTTTAATTCAATAATATAATGTTGATAAGCTAGTCATATATGGTATTCAGTTACAGAATAAATCTATTATAAACAAGAAATTGTTCCTTGGAATGGCTATTTGGCTTTTGAATTTGAAATTTCTTTTTAAATTGTCTTTACCTCCACAAAGACTGCAATAAACTTAGCGATAAGGCCGTCGATTGTTTGCTTTATCTATTTCTTGTATTTTTTCCAACGTAATCTTTTCGAGAAAACTAGAAAGATATCGACCTACTAAATATTTATCTACTTTAATATTTTTCAAATAATCTTCAAATAACATTCTATAATTCTTTATTGATTTACAGATATGGTTATTTTGTAAGGGTGCCGAAAGTGCTGTTTTACCACTGTGCAAAGACTCCGTCATAATTGAAGACGTGAATAGAGATATAGATACATTCGCTAACAGAGGTCTTAGGACTTTAGCTGTTGCATACAGGACAATATCGCAAGAAGAATATGCCAGAGTTGCTGAATGTGAGTTATCATTTTTTATTTTCTATTTTTACCTTTGAAAATTACGAAGTCTTTATTTTAAGGACCCCTATTCTTAAATGCATTGTAGGATGTCAGTGGATGCAGGTGGCTCACGACCGTTCCTTATGGCAGTCTATGGGGGAGGTCTGTGTCCAGCAGTGGACGGATAATGGTTGAGATGATGATAATATATTCTTAAATAAGCTTCTTTTATAATAAAATTGTAAAAAAATACTGCGGAAATAAAAAATGAAAAATTGGAACTAGAATTTAAATAGTCACGTACAGTGCGGCAACAGAAGAATTTCATTTAACAAATACTCTGACTCTGGAATGAATTTTTTACCGAGATTTTTCCTAAATATAGGATTCTTAAAAAGAGAGCGATAACAATGGAATAAGGATTCGCAACGTACGAATGATACTCTCTGAGTGTCTAGTGTCTGAGTGTCTAGTGTCTGAGTGTCTAGTGTCGGAGTGTCTAGTATCTGAGTGTCTAGAAACTGTGTGTCTGAGAGTCTAGTGTCTGAGTGTCTAGCGTCTGAATGTCTAGTGTCTGAGTGTCTAGTGTCTGAATATCTAGTGTCTGAGTGTCTAGTATCTGAGTGTCTAGTGTCTAGTGTCTGAGTGTCTAGTGTCCGAGTGTCTAGTGTCTGAGTGTCTAGTGTCCGAGTGTCTAGTGTCTGAGTGTCTGAGTGTCTAGTGTCAAAGTGTCTAGTGTCTGAGTGTCTAGTGTCTGAGCGTCTAGTGTCCGAGTGTCTAGTGTCCGAGTGTCTACTGTCTAGTGTCTAGTGTCTGAGTGTCTAGTGTCCTAGTGTCTAGTGTCTGAGTGTCTAAAAGTGTCTAGTGTCTGAGTGTCTAGTGTCCGTCTAGTGTCTAGTTCTCTGAGAGTGTTTAGTGTCTAATGTCGAGTGTCTAGTGTCCGAGTGTCTAGTGTCCGAGTGTCTAGTGTCCGAGTGTCTAGTGTCCGAGTGTCTAGTGTCCGAGTGTCTAGTGTCCGAGTGTCTAGTGTCTGGTGACCGAGTGTCTAGTGTCTGGTGTCCGAGTGTCTAGTGTCTGAGTGTCTGAGTGTCTAGTGTCTGAGTGTCCAGTGTCTGAGTGTCTAGTGTCTGAGTGTCTAGTGTCTGAGTGTCTAGTATCTGAGTGTCTAGTGTCTGAGTGTCTAGTGTCTGAGTGTCTAGTGTCTGAGTGTCTAGTGTCTGAGTGTCTAGTGTCTGAGTGTCTAGTGTCCGAGTGTCTAGTGTCTGGTGACCGAGTGTCTAGTGTCTGGTGTCCGAGTGTCTAGTGTCTGAGTGTCTAGTGTCTGAGTGTCTAGTGTCTGAGTGTCTAGTGTCTGAGTGTCTAGTGTCTGAGTGTCTAGTGTCTGAGTGTCTAGTGTCTGAGTGTCTAGTATCTGAGTGTCTAGTGTCTAGTGTCTGAGTGTCTAGTGTCCGAGTGTCTAATGTCTGAGTGTCTAGTGTCTGAGTGTCTAGTATCTGAGTGTCTAGTGTCTAGTGTCTGAGTGTCTAGTGTCCGAGTGTCTAGTGTCCAAGTGTCTAGTGTCTGAGTGTCTAGTGTCCGAGTGTCTGGTGTCTGAGTGTCTAGTGTCCGAGTGTCTAGTGTCCGAGTGTCTAGTTTCCGAATGTTTAGTGTCAAATTCAAATTCAAATTCAAATTCAAATTCAAATTCAAAAATCATTTATTCATGTAGGACATTTTAGCCGCTTATGAACGTCAAATTTTTACATTATAATTTTATTTTTTTCCCTACCGTCCAGTTCGGTATATAGATCCAATTGAGAAGAACTGGCAAGAAACTCAATTGAATTACTTTTTTTTTAAAAGCCAGTTTATTTACAATGTATATTTATATAGGTGTCTATGTCTAACATTAAATGAAAATTCAGTGCATGAACAACTATTGCCATGCACACTCGTCATTCAAGTAATCGTTTAGTGAGTAATAGGCTTTGCTCAGTAAATATGATTTAACAGATGTTTTGAATTTATTTAAGGGTAATTCCAACATATCCTTTGGTATCTTATTGTAAATTTTTATACCTATTCCCATAAAAGACCTATTAACTTTTTCTAAACGATACTTGGGGACAGCAAGTTTGTCTTTAAATCTAGTATTAATATTATGAATATTGCTGTTTTTTGGAAATAAGTCAAGATTTTTATGAACATATAGGATATTTGAATATATAAATTGAGAAGCAACGGTGAGAATATTTGCCTCTTTGAATTTCTCTCTTAATGAGTCACGACTCTTCATACAGTAAATCGCTCGAACGGCACGTTTTTGTAATATGAATATATTCTTAATATCTGCCGCTTTTCCCCATAGTAATATTCCATAAGAGAGTAAACTATGAAAATAACTAAAATAGACTAATCTAGCAGTATCAGTATCAGTGTACTGTCTAACTTTACGCACGGCAAAAGCTGCTGAACCTGTCTGTCCGAGTGTCTAGTGTCTGAGTGTCTAGAAATTGTGTGTCTGAGTGTCTAGTGTCTGAGTGTCTGAGTGTCCGAGTGTCTAGTGTTTGAGTGTCTAGTGTCTGAGTGTCTAGAAATTGTGTGTCTGAGTGTCTAGTGTCTGAGTGTCTGAGTGTCCGAGTGTCTAGTGTTTGAGTGTCTAGTGTCTGAGTGTCTAGAAACTGTGTGTCTGAGTGTCCGAGTGTCTAGTGTCCGAGTGTCTGGAAACTGTGTGTCTGAGTGTCCGAGTGTCTAGTGTCTGAGTGTCCGAGTGTCTAGTGTCCGAGTGTCTAGTGTCTGAGTGTCTAGTGTCCGAGTGTCTAGTGTCCGAGTGTCTAGTGTCCGAGTGTCTAGTGTCCGAGTGTCTAGTGTTCGAGTGTCTAGTGTCTGAGTGTCTGAGTGTCTAATGTCTGAGTTTCTAGTGTCTGAGTGACTAGTGTCTGAGTGTCTAGTGTCCGAGTGTCTAGTGTCTGAGTGTCCGAGTGTCTAGTGTCTGAGTGTCTGAGTGTCTGAGTGTCTGAGTGTCTAGTGTCTGAGTGTCTAGTGTCCGAGTGTCTAGTGTCTGAGTGTCTGAGTGTCTAATGTCTGAGTTTCTAGTGTCTGAGTGTCTAGTGTCTGAGTGTCTAGTGTCTGAGTGTCTAGTGTCTGAGTGTCTAGTGTCTGAGTGTCTAGTGTCTGAGTGTCTAGTATCTGAGTGTCTAGAAACTGTGTGTCTGAGAGTCTAGTGTCTGAGTGTCTAGCATCTGAATGTCTAGTGTCTGAGTGTCTAGTGTCTGAGTATCTAGTGTCTGAGTGTCTAGTATCTGAGTGTCTAGTGTCTAGTGTCTGAGTGTCTAGTGTCCGAGTGTCTAGTGTCTGAGTGTCTAGTGTCCGAGTGTCTAGTGTCTGAGTGTCTAGTGTCTGAGTGTCTAGTGTCTGAGTGTCTAGTGTCTGAGCGTCTAGTGTCTGAGTGTCTAGTGTCTGAGTGTCTAGTGTCCGAGTGTCTAGTGTCTGAGTGTCTAATGTCCGAGTGTCTAGTGTCCGAGTGTCTAGTGTCCGAGTGTCTAGTGTCCGAGTGTCTACTGTCTAGTGTCTAGTGTCTGAGTGTCTAGTGTCCGAGTGTCTAGTGTCCGAGTGTCTAGTTTCCGAGTGTCTAGTGTCTGAGTGTCCGAGTGTCTAGTGTCTGAGTGTCTGAGTGTCTGAGTGTCTGAGTGTCTGAGTGTCTGAGTGTCTGAGTGTCTGAGTGTCTAGTGTCTGAGTGTCTAGTGTCCGAGTGTCTAGTATCTGAGTTTCTAGTATCTGAGTGTCTAGTGTCTAGTGTCTAGTGTCTGAGTGTCTAGTGTCCGAGTGTCTAGTGTCTGAGTGTCTAGTGTCCGAGTGTCTAGTGTCTGAGTGTCCGAGTGTCTAGTGTCTGAGTGTCTGAGTGTCTAGTGTCTGAGTGTCTAGTGTCTGAGTGTCTAGTGTCTGAGTGTCTAGTGTCCGAGTGTCTAGTGTCCGAGTGTCTAGTGTCTGAGTGTCTGAGTGTCTAATGTCTGTGGCTGAGTTTCTAGTGTCTGAGTGACTAGTGTCTGAGTGTCTAGTGTCCGAGTGTCTAGTGTCCGAGTGTCTAGTGTCCGAGTGTCTACTGTCTAGTGTCTAGTGTCTGATTGTCTAGTGTCCGAGTGTCTAGTGTCTGAGTGTCTAGTGTCTGAGTGTCCGAGTGTCTAGTGTCCGAGTGTCTAGTGTCTGAGTGTCTGAGTGTCTAGTGTCTGAGTGTCTAGTGTCCGAGTGTCTAGTGTCCGAGTGTCTAGTGTCCGAGTGTCTAGTGTCTGAGTGTCTAGTGTCCGAGTGTCTAGTGCCCGAGTGTCTAGTTTCCGAGTGTTTAGTGTCCGAGTGTCTAGTGTCCGAGTGTCTAGTGTCTGAGTGTCTAGTGTCTGAGTGTCTGAGTGTCTAGTGTCTGAGTGTGTGAGTGTCTGAGTGTCTGAGTGTCTAGTGTATGAGTGTCTGAGTGTCTAGTGTCCGAGTGTCTAGTGTCTAGTGTCCGAGTGTCTGAGTGTCTAGTGTCCGAGTGTCTAGTGTCCGAGTGTCTAGTGTCCGAGTGTCTAGTGTCTGAGTGTCTAGTGTCCGAGTGTCTAGTGTCTGAGTGTCTACTGTCTAGTGTCTAGTGTCTGAGTGACTAGTGTCTGAGTGTCTACTGTCTAGTGTCTAGTGTCTGAGTGTCTAGTGTCCGAGTGTCTAGTGTCTGAGTGTCTAGTGTCTGAGTGTCCGAGTGTCTAGTGTCCGAGTGTCTAGTGTCCGAGTGTCTAGTGTCTGAGTGTCCGAGTGTCTAGTGTCTGAGTGTCTGAGTGTCTAGTGTCTGAGTGTCTAGTGTCCGAGTGTCTAGTGTCCGAGTGTCTAGTGTCCGAGTGTCTAGTGTCTGAGTGTCTAGTGTCCGAGTGTCTAGTGTCTGAGTGTCTACTGTCTAGTGTCTAGTGTCTGAGTGTCTAGTGTCTGAGTGTCTAGTGTCCGAGTGTCTAGTGTCCGAGTGTCTAGTGTCCGAGTGTCGAAATCGACCTCCTTTCTCTCACTCTCTATACAGTTTTTGTCAATTTATTTTTGTGTTTTATATGTGTCTCGGTCGCAGTGACTGTTATATGTCATCATATCATTTTAACTTTTCAGTGCAAATTTTAACTTTTAAGTTGTTAATGAGTGGTTATTGGTATTTTGGACAAGGCATGGCCGCAATGTCATGCACTTAAATTTAAAAATAAGCCAGTTGGGATGTGTTGCTAATCAGTGATTTGGTAGAGCCATTGCATGGCTGATTTATCAGTACGGGTCCAGATTCAATCATGTTCCTAAAGTCAATTCACACATTCAATTCATATTTCCAAATGACGTCTTTTGGAGCAATAGTAATAATTCAAAATATTGCTGCAAACGGTCAAAAATTAAATTCCACGTTCCAAATCAAAAGCCAAGTTTATCACAAAATGGGCTCATTGTTGCCAATTCCAAGCAAATCTCTTAAATTTTTACTTTACTTTATGGATGGGAAGGACTCCAAACGCGCACTTGACGTGTATGTACATCGAATGCCAGCAAGGCGCAAAGTCGTCGAGCAATCACATTTAGAGTCATGCAAGATAGAAGAGCACAAAGATCAGACCAACAAATTCAACAAAACAATACCACGAATCCCTATGATTTTTACAGATATGCCAAATAAATTCAAACGCATTTAATTCCTAATAAGATTGACATTCGCAATGACGATCAGTAAGTCACAAGGCCAAACGTTGTCTGTTTGTAGCTTAGATTTGGGTACACTATGCTTTTCCCACGTACAACTACATGTGGCGTGTGGCATGTTCACGCATGGGAAAACCATCTCGCTGACAGATTAGTCTTTGTTTATTTTTTAATTGCCATAATTATTAGTAGGAAAATAAAAAAAAATAAACTATTATGGATGTATAGATAGCTATCAAGAATTGTAATTTAATATGTATTTGTTATTTTCTAGAAATAATGTATATGGCAAAACAACGTTTGCAGGGTCAGCTAGTTAATACATATATATAATCCACATTCATCACAAACGGAACGAACGTTTTTTCCAAATTTGTTGGGGTTGCATATTCACGTCAACCAAGATACTCGTTAAGACGAATTAAACGAGCCCAAACTCGATGGGATTTCGTCCTTTAATTACGGAGTTCTTATGGCCACCTTTCTTAAGTTTTTTATATAATTCTTTTGATAACCTCAGAAGGAGGTTTGAGGCATGGTTAAGCTGCTTGTAATATCGGTATATGCTGGTAGGGCACCGGTAAAAGAATATAAATGAAATAGGTGATGATTAAAGGTTTTGTAAGATTTAAGAACTAAGCTACTACACCGATTTTGATAAAATTTCTATAGGACCAATGTGTCAGTATATCCTTTCAGAAAAAAAAAATTCCTAATCGGTTTAAAACTGACGGAGTTATGAAATAACAGACATAAAAAAATACATCCAAATTGAGAACCTACTTCTTTTTGAAGTCCATTAAAAATGAAGCGATCTCATTGTGACGAATTTATCAAAAATTTCCTACGACAACATCTAGGTAATAAAAAAGATCGACATTGACAGGGTATATTATTTTGTGGTTTATTCCTGGTGAATTAATCATGATGAGCCGTCTGATTTGACTTTATCCTTGTATATTATACGTTGACTGGTAAGTACTCTGTTAGTATATACCAACAACGCGAACGGTGGTAGGTTACTATTCCATTAAAAGTTAGTGACTGATTTTATCATCATCATCCTCACACAGTACTAACATTTTGTTCCACAAAAACGCTTTACCTATCACAATATTTACATGCAATGAACGTAATTACACATAAAGCATATTGAATTAAAGTAACTAAATTAGTTCAGAAATGACAAATATAGAATGATATGATAATACGAGTATACTAAGTACTTATCTATTTACATAATAAAAAAAACCTAACACATTAGGAGAGTTACGTAAAGTACGATTAATGTAAAGGAGGTATTTAAACTTTAAGAAAAGTAAGTAAGCTATTTAGACGCTAAGAAAGTAGCGGCATCTAGCGTACATATGAACAACTAAAAATTAAGCCGAAGAATAAACCGACTTAGAGCTTTTCACTTGTTTGTTCACGATGATGTATCTGTACTAGTATAGTATTATATTATCTGTGCTCTCGGTATTGCAGGAGTTCATCGGATATAGTTCGATACAATGGTAATCGTTTAATATCAATAGAAAAAAGTAACTTTTCAATTATTTTAAATAAATCGAAGTCTGCTTCCAGCATTTATTGAATGAAGTAATTTTACGTAAGAATTTAATCATTGATAGCAAATAAATGTTTGGCTTTTGATTTATCTTCACAGCAGGACAAAATACAGAAGCATCGAGTGCAAGTACCTTGGAACAAATAACAAAAAGGTATAGAAAGTTTGAGAGCGATCTAACACTGATTGGTGCAACCGCCGTCGAGGACTGCCTGCAAGATGATGTGGTGGACACGTTAGCTGCTTTGAGGAGAGCCGGGATTAAGACATGGGTTTTGACTGGAGATAAGGTAAGCACTTTTTACTAGAGTTATCTATATTTATCTATATTTTTTTTACCTTTCTTTAACGAGATCGAAGAGAACAGTTTTTAAAGAGGATTTTTATCTTCAAATTAAAGAGAAGTAAGTTTGTTAGGACGAGTCATTATGAAGAAAATCAACAAAAAGTAACAATGAGTTTTCATGGCTGTGTTTAGGTTTGAAGGGTGGGATATGGCAGTGAATTTACAGGGTACAGAGGAATAACATCTGAGTCCTCAGGAATGGCAACGCATGGAGGTATCACAGGCGAAACAGTATACTCTGTTAGCACGGTTACCACTTTCCATAAGGTGAGCTGTTAGCTTGTTTGTCATTATGAATTGCATAAAAAAATTTTTTTCCTAAGAACTTATAAGATATTAAGTGAATTAAGTAAAGATATCTTTTTATAATCTTATGCACTCAAAAAAAAAACCGTCGAAGTCGTACGATTCGTTCGCATTAAAAATTATTAATGGAAAATTGTCAAAATTATTTTTATTGTCATAACTACAAATTTACGGATTTCGAATTTTCCCTTTACTTGTACCATAAGATAGCTTTTTATCAAATTTTATGTTGTCATTGGGAAGTACCCTATCTACGAGGTTTTTATTTCCTTGCAAATGTTAAAATAAAAACAAAAAAGCCGTATTCTTTATTTGGGTTGATTTCGAAGTTGATATTTTTACAGCTTCAAAAGCTGCAATATAGACTTGAATATTCGGTACTAATGTTAGCTTGATACCTCCACGCGTCCACAGAAAGAGGATCTTGACAGACAGACGAAGCTTTGTGAATGAGACTATCTGATAAAATGCCTAATTGTAAAATATAATAATGATTAGAATACCTAATATGTAAATACTATAATTCCTTACAAAGACAAATAAAACAAGCGATTGACGGACAATAATCTACTTAAAATGTATTATCTAATTTACATTACCATAAAATTACATCAATAGCTGAATACCGCGGATAATAGCGAACTCGTGTTGTTGGCTATATATTGTATTTATAAATAGATAAGTGTATTAAAACCTTACTTAATTTATTGCTGTTATCATTGTACGAGTAGCTATCGTAATCCCAATTGGGATAGACGTAGCGTGTTTTTGTTTTCGTGTCATTGTCGTCATCGTGACCATTATTTGCACACTATTGCACATAATTCTCCTCTATAAACTGCCATAAAGAACGATTCTGAGCCACCTGGGTCGTGAGAAGGAGTTGATAATAATGTCAAGTAATCTGGATCTTAGACCACATTGCTAGCAACATACACTAGCAGGTTGATTTCTACGCAATCCATCCTTTAATCTTCGTGGTTAATTCATATTGTATTCCTCAGGATGGACCAACTGACTTAACCTCATTCTTGTTTATTTATTCCTCATTGGTGCTTCGTCATTTTATACGTTTACATAGGCGGGTGCACTATTCCATCTTCATTTACAAAAAAGAGCCATCTAGGTCCATAGAGTTTTTAGTCACCTTTCTATCTAGTATGAGAGGATAGGATATCACCCTATACCGCCTTTGCAATATCTGTAGGTATAATTGTTCGCTTACACTCCCAATCAGATTGGATGTTGTCTCACATCTGCAATATCTGTATAGGTTATTGATTCTCTGTCTCAGCTAGTCTTACAATTGACAATGTTCGTCGATGGTTTTGCAACAGTTTTTTTTTATTATCAATGGAAAGTTGGTCAGTAAGTTAAATTGATAAAATTTGATCTTACGATAAAAGTAGGTAGATAGACCAGAACAATCTCAATTAGTAATTATGGATTTTTTTCTATGTAAACGATTAAAAACCTTAGTCTTTAAAATTTCACTGTTTCTTAGGTGGAGACAGCCATAAATGTGGCGCAGTCGTGCGGGCACATATCTGAAAACGATAGGAGAATGTTCCTTATCGGAGTCACGATGGATTCTGTCGATGTTCATTTGGAGCAATGTAGACGTATCATAAGTGAACAAAGCTACAAGGACTTGACGCTAGTCGTGGATGGAACAAGCGTAGGCGCCATATTGGGCACGCCCTCGGCTCATATCTTCGCAGATATATCTATGAAGTGCGATGCTGTGTTATGTTGCAGATTGTCTCCCATACAAAAGGCGGAGGTAATAATTTTATATGTGTAAGAGTGGTCCATTGATCAAAGAAATGGTGTGTCTGCTATAATTTTATAATAACCACTCAGTCAATTTTCTTGTTATTTTCTTGTTTTATAATAACCACTATTGTAAAATTATATTGTAGACAAAATATTGTATCACTTAAGATGTTTCTATATTAATATCAGCTCAGAATAAGAATAATGCACAATCACTATTAGGTACTCATTAATTTGATAACTTCCAGATTATACTTACAGCATTTAATGGCGTAACTGATTCTGGTTCTGTTACATCTTCCACAGATAGTGAAATTAATAAAACATTGTCCTTCGCACCCAATCACAGCTGCAATTGGAGACGGTGCAAACGATATATCAATGATTCAAGAAGCTCACGTCGGCTTTGGTATTTTCGGAAGGGAAGGCCATCAAGCTGCTAGGTAAGCAAGCGATTTAGTTTTTAATATTATGAAGGTAGCAAACAATGCATATAATCCACCGGATGATAAGACATTATTTCAAATTCCGAGCGGATAGTGGAGAAGATATGTACAATCAGGACGATTACCAGAAGTTGTAATAAATTATATGATCAGACGTGAATTAGTTGGACATGTGGTCCGAACGTTAGCAAGAAAATTTTGAAATAGAACTGTAGAGGTTATGAAACTTCAATGCGAATAAATTAGATCCTAGAACATGTTTAAGATGAGCGATTTAATAGCAGATGTAAAAGGCGATTGCTGTGATTGTGTAGTACTTGTTATTGCTATCTCACATATATTTTCTAATATTATAATAGATATTTGCACTTTAAAGCATTGTGTTAAACTTTGACAATATCAATAAAAAATATCTAGGTTTGTGAAGACTTGACATCCTATCCACACTTGTTTAAAAATTGCTGGATAATAATAATAGAAACAGAACATTTTGGGAGTATTTGTGTCGTCTGCGTTACTCTAATAAGAAAAATAGGTAATCCTGTGACAGTGCCTTTCTTTTCTCGAAGCCATTAGCGGGACTGTTAAGCCAATATGTTCTTCTTGTGGATAAAAGTAGAAGCTTGAAATTGCAGTTATATCAATTTTCAGATGTGCCGATTTTGCATTTACAAAATTCTCAATGGTGAAGAAAATACTCTTAGTATTGGGTCACTGGTATTATCAAAGATTAGCGACCTTAATACATTACTTTAATTATAAGAATTTAGTCTTCGGAAATATTATGGTGAGTTGGTGACGCTTTGCGACGAAGGTCTGGGTTTAGCTTCGCATTTCAATATAATGTCATGTCAATTATGTTCATCGTAGTGTTTGTCCAGCTAAGGTATGCCCTGGATGTGTTGTCAATTGTTTTACGTTTTACATTTGTGTTCATTTTCTTGTATCTTCCGCAACATTTTTATGTATTTTAAATATAAGTTTAATAATCTATGACGCTTATAGAATAGAGATGATATTTATGAGTACTTCCTTTTACTTGAAATTTCTATCCAAGGGGACCTTTACTTATTTGATATGTTTGTAGACCTACTTTTGTAGGAATCTTACTTATTTTTGGATCAATAAATTGGGAATTGGGAGCTGTTTTGTAGACACATAAAAGTGAAGATAAAACTTCAAACTTGCTTTTACAACAATAAATTGCAGAAAACAGCAGTAGGTATTCATACTGGTGCATGAATACTCCCGGTCGGTTTTATTTTTGTAGAATTGTGTTTTATGCAGGTTTGGCCAACTGGCCAACCCAGTGACTTGAAATCCTAAATTATACGTTGATTTATCACTAATAACTTGATTGTCATTTTGCATTGCTTGTTCACAGTTTTTCTTTCAAATAAACAACGGGTTTTCCACACAATCGATATACAACTCGATGTACCTGACTGCGTACAATTTGATATTTACGTCGGTGCCGTGCCTGATACTCGCGGTCACTGAACAGAGGTGGCCCGCCTCATTACTGCTGCAGTGAGTGCCCACTTCAATTCTATTGATACAGCGCGCAATGATGGACGTAGACCCTTCAGGAGTACAGAGTTTTTCAGTACATTTTATTATTTGGAGACACATAAGTAGATCCATCATGGGTAGATGTTGGATGTTTTTAACAATAACATATCTTGGAGCTAAACTTAGATCCGAGGGTCGGGAAGAGAGAGGTAATTTTTTTTTAATGGATGATAATGGAATGGTTACCCCGCATGCGCTAACTGTATACCCTGGCGGGGCACCAGTGAGGGATGATAGGCGAGAATGAAAAAGCAGGTCAGTTAACCCATCGTGGTGAATACACTTGGAATTAAGCACGATGGTTTCCTGGAGGGACCACGGGGAAGTCGACTTGTTAGGGTATATTATTAGCAATGGGAGTAGTAATTCGCATAACTAACAATCCCTTCCCTCCTGGAGGTTATTATTAGGTGATGTGTGGTTTGGTTAATTTCTGGTGATTTCATCACTATAGGCCAGCTGACCTAACTTCATCCTCATTAGGAATTGCTAGCAATGAGGACTACCAATCTAATTGCCAGCAATATACTCTATCAGGTCGATCTCGCCGTGGAAACTGTCGTACTGAATTCCAAGTGTATTCATTACGATGGGCTAAATGACCTGCTTTTTTATTCTCACCTATCATTCGTACTAGTACCCCGCCAGTGTATACCGTTAGCGAAGGCGGGGTTGCCATTCCATTACCACCCATTCAAAAAAACTTCACCTGTATCTATTATTCCTCGCTGGTACCCCGCCGGTGCATGCCAATTGTGTAGACGGCGTTACCATTTTATTTTTATTCCATAAAAAAGTGCAATTTGTGAATGTTTAGATGGTCGTATATAAAGCAGCTTCAGAGATGTTTCCTTCCACGAATGCTCAGGTTATGGAATGAGCTCCATGTCAAGGTTTTTCCAAGAGTCTACAGCGTGGGTATCTTCAAAAAAGGAGTAAAGAGATTTCTGCAGGGTCGGCAACGCACGAGTAATACCTCTGGTATTGCAGACGTTCAAAGGCTTACCATCAGGCGGGCCGTATGCTCGTTTGCCACCTCAGTGGTATAAAAAGATGTGGCGAATAGTAGTATAATAAAAAGTTTTAATATTGCAGGAACCCTACATTATATCGAGAGATCAGTCGAAACAAACTGATGACGTGGAGCAATTTTTTTGTGTGGGTCCTGTCTGCGTGCTACCATTCAGTCATCATTTATATGTTCACGCTGTTGGTCTTCACAAGTTCGGTCATCAGTGAAGATGGAAAAAACATTGACTTAACGTAAGTGTATCAGAGAATAGGACTTATTAGGAACCTAACTGTATATATTCAAGAGCAGATTAAAAGAGCATCTTCTGTCCTCATAAAGTTATTATGTCTATGTATGTATATGTACGTATTTTGTATGTAAAGAGATATTTTATGTCTATGTATATGTATTATTATATACAGATATGTATGTATTATGATTTTATTTATTTGAGTTACTTTGTATATATGTCAACATATTTATTATTTCTTAATAGAAACAACAATACTGTTTCCTATTATTGTACGCACACTGCCCGCTGGTAATTAATGCTCCTCTCCACTCAGTGTTTGCTGGAGGAGAACTCTTACAGAGTTAAGCTCGCCTGTTGTATATCTTTATTTCATATATATGTTTGTAATTTTTTGTGTACAATAAAGAATAAATAAATAAATAGAATCTTCAAACTCAGAGACAGCGTGAAACTCTATCTACTATAGATTTTTATAACTTTAGATACGTTTTTTCTATGAAACTGATGCTAAAACTGAGGCCACCCATTCCTTTCTCATGGGTGTTGTAAAAGGTGACTAAAGAAGGGCGAAGAATGAGCAGCAGCGTCCTAGCGTCCTTCTTAAAACATCTCCAAAGCCTGAGCAGCAGCGTCCTTCTTAAAACATCTCCAAAGCCTAATTGCAGTTGCCAATTCGCTTGCCAATCGTAGTAACTACTGGTCAACCCTTAAGAGGACCCTTATGTTCAGCAGTGGACAGTTAAAGGCTGATATGGTGATGATGGATTAGACAGCAAGTAAAACCTCTAACACAAACAGTAAATTTCCTTCTAGTCTTTAACAACGACTTCCATAGCGCTTTGGTAGGCGAAAAGAGATTGTTAGTAACGGATTCCAGCTGACCCATTGCCAGCAATACACCCTATCAGGTCGACCTCCATGCGGTTTCCTCTGGAAACCATTGTGAATAATTCTAATGGAATTCGTCATAGGTGATAGGTGACGATGAAAGCAGGTCAGTTAGCCTGACCTGCTTTCATCGTCACCTATCATCCCTCACTGGTGCCCCGCCAGCGTATACCGATAGCGCAGACGGGGTTACCATTCCATTATCATATGTTTAAAAAACTTGATATACTTGCAGGTCATACGGAGCAGCACTGTTCCACTTAACGATAATGGTGGTGAGCCTCAAGCTGTGGCTGCAGGCGCGCTATCACACTGTCCTCTTCGTGATCTCCATACTGCTCTCTATTTTAGTCTATGTTGCGTTCGACTCCGTTTACGCAACTGTTTCAATGTAAGTATTTACATGTAAGTACATTAGATGCATTGGAATGCCCATATAGTCTATATAAAAAAAAAAAGTCCTAATACTAGAGAGAGACTTTCTAGAAAATTCGTTTGCCTCTGTTCTACTCGTATTTTAACCATGAAACAGTTGTGTTTCAATAGCTGTATTTCAGTTTGAATGGTAGTCGCAGTGAATTTACAGGGTACAGAGGTACAACACCTGAGTCCGGGGGGAAAGGGATTGTTAGTAATGGATACTGAGAATCCCATTGCTAGCAATATACCCAACCAAGTCGACCTCCTCGCGGTTCTCTCTGGAAACTATCATGGTTATTCCTGATGAATTCATTATGATGGGCTAACTGGCCTGTTTTCATTGTCATCTATCACCCTACAATGGTGCTCCGCCAGCGTATCCCGTTAGCGCAGGCGGGGTTACTATACAATTTTCACCCATCAAAAAAAAACTTGTTTTAATTTTCAGACCATCAGACGCCGACCCTATAGGGACGTACACAAGACTGTTATCGTCTCTCTCATTCTGGTTGCTGAACTTACTGGTGGTGGCGGCGTGTCTAGCGCCTGACTTCTGCGCTCGCCTCATATCCGACAAGTGGGGCAAGAGGCAGCTACCTAGCATGCATTTTATGCAGGAAATTTTTGTGACCAGATTATGAGCTAAAAGTTCATTAAACAATATATTCCAGAGGCCTTTAACCTTTAAAAAAAGTATATATGTACTTTCAGACATTGCCCATAGTTATTAGCTGCTCTCTTATTTTGGAGTGGGCATTAGACAATTCTAGTGTGGGCAAGGCCCACCCGGCCTCCCTTTAAATATACTTATGTGAACTAGAAACATAATGACGTGCTGTTTTACAGATTAATATTTGTTGAAAAATATTATTCTTATTTAGTACCTGTCTCTTGAAATATTTTTTTTTTACGTGTAAACAAATTAGGCAAAGGAACTTTGTGCATAATTATATTGTTTTAAACGATGTAACACGAGCAAAGTTTGTTGTTGGCTGCGTAGTAGCATATCACCTAGTAAGTAACTAGGTCTTGTGATAATATATTATGACCTTAGATTATATACATAGAGCATCGAGCCACAAAAACGGTCAACTTTTTGTCAGCTAATTGTCAAATTTTTCTTTTTTCGCTTTTCTCGAAGCATTTGTAAGGAGGCACTTTATCTAAATAATCTAAGATTATGACATTACAGGGATAAAAAACGAATTAATGATTACAAATATAGAAATAAAATTAATTTATTTATATAATAGATTAATGTACCTATTGTTACATAATGTAATTATGTTGATTTCAATATATGAAATCATGATTTGTGATAATATTGTGATTGACAATTAGACTAGTTGTTTACTGATACATATGTTACAATATGTGCAAAGATAAATTTATTTTTATAACTTTATAAATTTATTTTTATAAGAAAGAATGAAGAAATAAATAATTTAATCAAACAAGCATGCGACTCACACAGTAGCACACAAAACATGAACAAAACAAACAAAAAAAAAAGCAATAGTACACAAATAAAAAGCGTTTTCTGCTCAATTAAAATCTAAATTAAATATATATAAATATATATATATATATATATATATATATATATATATATATATATTTTGTTTATTGTTTCTTTTATTTATTTATTTTATTGTAAGATGTACTAACATTAGACTAAGGTTATGTTACTAACAAATTGGGCCATTGTAGCCTGTAATAATATGTAAATTATTATAACAATTTATTCTGTAGTTCATATTATTGAACATTTTAATTTATTTAAAATACAGATCCAACTTGGCTAATAAAATGACTTATCTCGTTAATAAGTAGTCTGTATTTCAAAATATTTCAAGAGGGTTGACGTCAGGCATGCGACCGGTCGTAAAAGTAAGCCAAATCTTTTCTGTAATATGGGTAAAAAACATTGGCGACCTTGTTTTTTGGAATGAGGGTAGGACGAAGAAGAAAGTGAAACTACAGTATTAAGAACTAGTGGTAACTTCACCTGCGCTATTTTTTTAATGGGTGATAATATAATGGTAACCCCACCCGCGCTAACGGTATACACCGGCGGAGCACCAGTGAAGGATGATAAGTGAGGATGAAGCAGGTCAGTTAGCCCATCGTGACGAATTCAAAAAGAATTGTTCACGATGGTTTCCAGGGGGAACCACGTGGAGGTCGACCTAATAAGGCATATTGCTAGCAACGGGGCAGTCAAACTCCATTGTTAACAATCCCTTTCCCCCCTCACCTGCGCTATTAGTATACTATGACGGGTTTCCAGTGAACGTTCATTGGTGAGGGTAAAGTTAAGTCAGTACTGATAACTTTTCAACAGAAATTGAAAATCTGAAGGTCTGTAGGGCCCTTTTAAAAAAAAGAAGGTATTTTATACGCTGACTAGCCGGCTAGGGTTATATTTATTCCACTTCTTTCCTGCACTAATTGTCGATTTCCTTAAAGCAGCGGCAAGAACATTGCTTTCGCAGAAATTGGGTTCCTGGTTCAATTTTTGAAACGAAGTTGTCTGAATTGGCTCGGATCTGGGTTTCCTGGTTGTACCGCTAGACGCTCTTTGCCTGGTTTCTGATAACACAGGGTTTTTTAGCTTGAGGACTGGACAGTTGGTGTGCCTATGTAGCATTTATTTGTACCCAAGCAATCGACTTTGTACAAAGTCGATTGCTTGGGTACCTTTGTCCCATTCGTGTTTCAACCGTGAAGCAGCTGTGTTAGCATGGCTGTCTTTCGGTTTTAAGGGTGGGATATGGCGTGAATTTACTGGGTACGGAGGAATAACACCTGAGTCCTCAGGAATGGCAACGCATGGGGGGTATTATGGGCGAAACAGTATACTCTGTTATGTCCATGGCACCGCTCATGTCTATAGGCGACGGTTACCACTTTCCATCAGGTGGGCCGTCAGCTTGTTTGCCATTCTAAGTTGTATAGAAAAAATATTGGAATAATGACACAATTGTTCTCTTGTTTATTTTTTTTTTAATGAATTTTCAAAGTTGTCCGTCATTCAGACCATTACAATTTTCAATATAAAAAAAATAATAACTCCGGCGTAGACGTCCCTCGAAGCCTATAAGATCGAGGGAGTATTATTATAACTATTAATTTATTTAATAACTAACTGTTCCCCGCGATTTCGTCCGTGTTTCCGTCGTTTTTCGTAAAATAAGTAGCCTATGTCCCTTCTCACGGTTCAGTGATTTTGATGTTACAGACACATTTCTCTTCACTGCTCTGCTCCTATTGATCGTAGCGTGATGAAAGTATACTATAACCTACCCAGGAGTATGAAGAACAATTGTACCTAGTTTCGTTAAAATCCGTCGAGTAGTTTTTGTTTCTATAACGAATATACAGACAGACAGACAAAAATTTTACTGATTGCATTTTTGGCATCAGTATCGATCACTAATCACCCCCTGATAGTTATTTTGGAAATATATATCATGTACAGAATTGACCTCTCTACAGATTTATTATAAGTATAGATTATACATCATTTATTTTTAAAACTTTAATATCTTTTCTAATATCTACCGTACCTATATTTTTTTATACAACTTACAATGTTATTAGTTTATATATATAACGTGAAATTAAAGAACCCATCGTGTTGGCCGTTTCCGGTATTGTTTATTTCTGTTGGTCGTTTCCGGTAATTGTTTATTTTTATTATTAAAGTACTTAGATTAATCTTTCTACACATATATAAGTGAATACATCTAATATTAGGTATTTGTAAATATCTATTTTTGTAACCTATAATAGGTATTAGACGAGAAAATATCGGCTGTGCTCTTAATGAATGATACGATATTTTTGTAAGATAAATTTTATATAGAATCGCGCCATATCTGCGCAGTGGCGGACTAAGCTCGTCAAAGGGTCCAGGGAGAGGGGGGGGGGGAGGTGCACCTGAATGAGGTTTTTTTTAATGGGTGATAATGGAATGATAGCCCCATCCGCGCTATTGGTATACACCGGCGGGGCACCAGTGAAGGATGATAGGTGAGAATGAAGCAGGCCAATTAGCCCATCGTGACGAATTCAACAAGAATTGTTCACGATGGTTTCCAGGGGGAACTACGTAGAGGTCGACCTAATAAGGTATATTGCTAGCATGGGGCAGTCAAACTCCATTGCTAACAATCCCTTTCCCCCCTCATCTGCGCTATTAGTATACTATGACGGGTTTCCAGTGAACGTTCATTGGTGAATAGTGAATGAGGTTTGATAAGTTCATGTAACATTCATTAATGTAATTTTACAAGCTTTTTATTCTGTTTCCATTTGTATGTATAAGAACATAGATATGAATGTGGAAAATGGAAACCCCCCAAGGCCAGAGGCCGGTGGCAGGCTTCTCCCCATCCCTTTAGTCCGCTACTGTATCTGCGTCTAAGTGTTATTATGCCTTAATTATAAGTTGCTTATGAATGTAAGTAAATATATTTGTAAACTTACATTACGTATAATAAAAATCAAGTCTTTATATTTTATTTAGTTTTATTGACTACATTGGTGGTCTAATAGTTGAAAAGCGGGGGGAAAGGTTTGACAAAAGTTTGACAGCCCCATTGCTAGCAATATGCCTTATTAGGTCGACCTCCACGTGCTTTCCCCTGGAAACCATCGTGAACAATTCTTGTTGAATTCGTCACGATGGGCTAACTGACCTGCTTCATCCTCACCTATCATCCTTTACTGGTGTCCCGCCGGTGTATACCGACAGCACGTGTGGGGTTACCATTCCATTATCATCCATTAAAAAAATAGTTGAAAAGCTACCAATGGTTGTAGGTTCGATCCCGTCACAATACAAACATTTATACTTATTCATGATTATGTATTACCTACTTATTTTTTACTATTCTTTGTGTATTTATGTATACCATACCATGGTTCCGTGATCCCTCGCTCCACCGAGGTGAGGAATGGGCAACAGCCTACTCTACCCTCGCGGGGTTAAAAAACCCGCCCTATTCATAAAAACGTTAAATTTCTCATAAAGCTCTTGAACTGTTTTTACTCTTTCTTTTTTTTTTGTATTAAATGTTCAGTTTGTATGAAAGTGACAAAACAGTGTAATACCTTAAATATGTAGGTTTATAGGAGGTTGTAGTTTTATATGAATAAGGGGTTAAAACTGCCTACGTACAGCGTTATAATAGTGAATATTTCTAGGATTAAGCTTCTTTTTCATTAGTTAACAATAGCGTGAAGGCATCGAATGGAAATACTATAAATTTCACAACATACGTTTACTATCGAAACGAAGTTACATTTTGAATTACTGGCGTAAACGCGCGCGCCAGTGTGTCACGTAAAAATGCCTTAAGAGCTGATTCGTAACTGCCAGCGCCGGCGGCGTCGCTAAGCTAACGATTAGTGTTGTGAAAAATGAGCTCCGAGGCGGAAACTCGAGCTCCGAGTCGAAGCTACTGAGTCTTCAAAGCTCGAGCTCTGAGGGCTCGTAAGTCTTAAAGGCTCGAGTCTTGAAGGCTCAAAAGTCTTAAATAAAGGGTTCGAGTCGAAGCTCGAGCTTTATTTATATACCTGATAATATTACAATGAAATATTTTTATTTAATTGTGGTAAGTACGTATAAAATGAAATAAAAGGACACAAATTAATCATGTTTTTTATTGTGAATGGCGTATTGCAACTGATGATAGGTTATGCGTTAGAACCCTACATAATAATAGCTTTTTCCATAAAAAGCTATAACAGTGAGGGTGGTTCTAGAAGAGCTCTGACACATTGAATTACTGATATACAACAGATAGAAAGTAAGACGAAATAAGAAGTATCAGTAGTATCAAACTCAATGGTAAATCTAACAAACTTTAACCAGTAAAAACTACAATAAAATGTATTTTTATTTAAACCAGGCAAACTGCGCTACATGAATGGCGTATACAAGTAATTATTACAATAATATTAATAGTAATGTGGGTAGTTCTAAAAACTAGCGATAACACTGGATCGATGATTCAATGAGTCGAAGACTCGGGAAACTCAAGCCTTATAACAACTCTAGTCATACATATGTCCTCATATCTATGAAGTCATATCCATGGAGTCATATCTATGAAGTCGTACATATGAGGTCATATCTATGATATCTTCTATTACCAGAGGGAGACTTTGTACAAAAGTCGATTGCTTCGGGTACCTCTGTCCCATTCGTGTTTCAACCGTGAAGCAGTTGTGTGTGCATGGCTGTGTTTCGGTTTGAAGGGTGGGATATGGCGTGAATTTACTGGGTACAGAGGAATAACATCTGAGTCCTTAGGAATGGCAACGCATGGGGGGTATCATGGGCGAAACAGTATACTCTGTTATGTCCATGGTACTGCTCATGTCTATAGGCGACGGTTACCACTTTCCATCAGGTGGGCCATAGATATGTCAGTTTGTTTGCCATTCTAAGTTGTATAAAAAAAAATATATGTAGTCATATCTATGGAGTCATATCTATGTAGTCAT